ATGCTGAAATTTTCGTTGAGCTACCGCACGGCTCCCACGGAGAACCCAACCAAGTCTGCTAGCTACTCAAGTCACTCTACGGCATCAAACAGGCCCCGTGACTGTGGAAACAGTACCTGCATGCTCGCCTCATCCGCATCGGCTTCAAGCAACTACTGCACGATCAAGGAATGTACCGGCTTACCAAAAACGACGACTACATCATACTAATCGTCTACGTGGACGACCTCCTTTACATCGGCTCAACTGATGGTATCACCACCTGGTTCGAAGGGGAGCTGCAGCGAGATCTTACGCTCACAGTTTCATCTACCGTCACTCAGTACCTCGGCCTCAACATCCGGGAAGAAGAAGACGCTATCTACCTCAGCGCCGCGGAATACGCCGACACCATCGCCAAACGTTTCGCACTCACACCGACTGTCATCTCCACACCGTACCGCTACACGACAGCAACCAACAAGGAAGGCTCCGCTCTACTCAAGCCCACCGGCATACGCAACTACCAGAGAAATCTGGGCTGCCTTCTCTTCGCAGCTGTCGCCTGCCGCCCAGATCTATCCTACTCTGCAAGCCAGCTCGCCACCCACCTCAAGAAACCTGAAGCGGATCATCTGGCTGAGCTCGACCGCGCTCTCCACTACCTCGTCAGCATCCCGACGGTCGACCTGACCTACCATAAGAACGCAACTACAACGCCTAAGCTAGTCCGTTACGTCGACGCAGATCACGCGGGCGACTCCGACAACAGACGATCGCGCACCGGCTACATCTGCCGCTTCGAGCCTATCGGACCTATCTCCTGGCAATCGAGCAAGGAGGAACTAATTGCTCTCTCGTCAGCTGAGGCAGAATATATTGCACTCTGCTCAGCCACCAAGGAAGGGCTCTATGTTCGCGAGCTGCTGGAATAAGCGAAGCTAGCCGAGTTACCCAACTTTACCCTGTTCTGCGACAACCAGTCGGTAATTCGCATCGCCAACAAGAACGGTTTCGCGAACAGGACGAAACACATCGCCCTGCGATATTTCTTTGTGAAGGACGAGATTGAGAAGGGAAGGCTCTAGCTGTCATACTGTCCCACGTCCGAGATGGCAGCTGACTACTTGACCAAGAAGCTCGGAAAACAGAAGTTTGAGTACTGCATGCTGCTGACTAGACAAAGCCACGTCACCAGCAGCGACACTCCAGAAGCGAAGGGGAGTGTTGGGAACAAACAATCTTAAGCGCTTCTGTCGTGTCGAAACACCAAGGCAGAAGCGAGGCAGGGCATAACGAGGCACCAACGAGTCAACCCTCGGAGGTTGAAGTAACCGCTGGAGGTTACGAGAAAGTCAAAGGTCAGCGACCTTTGACTTGACAAATGCAGCGCGACAGCAAGGACACACAACAGACTCGACATTGAGCAGTTGCCCGAGTCGCACCGTATCCCGGTAAATTCACATTTTTTGGCCTTTTTGGCTTTAGAGCGCTTTGATGTTCCGGCAGCGCTTCCACACCAGTCAACGTGTTGGGTGCAGAAGATGGTGCGGCATGCCTAAGAGGAATAGACGCTAATTCACAAAGCTGTTGCATTTCAGCCCGTACCTGCCGATTTTCTAGCGTAAACGTTTCAAGTTGGTGCATGGGTTGTGCATGCATGTTGTCCATGTCGTTTATGGGAGATTGTTCATGATTTCGTCCATGTCGTCTTGATGACCCCGTGTCTGCATTTCGGCACTATGGAACGATGAATCGTAGTCTCATCATCGACGGTTGCTCATTGGAAGTTGCTCCTCGCGAAGGCTCTTGATACCAAGTGTTAGGCCCTTGGCCTACATTTGCTAAAGAATAGGGGACTCGACTAAGTCGATTATAAACACGGTGGAAGACTTTGGCGAAAGAAGGTGTTCGTGAATTAGGAGAAGAAGTAGAGTGTCACGTGGCACTAGGAAATTTGAGAAGATACCGTAAAAGGATAGAAATTAGTTGGAAAGTACTCTTCAAAGTTAATAGTAAACCCCCCTCTAACATGTTGCTCTTGTGTGTGGAATGCGGCACACACCCCTACCCTGCGCCAGGTCTGAGCTCTGCGGAAGCTGCAGGGGGATCTGTCCGCAACGCTTCCCGCGTTCACAGGGAATGGCGGAAGACGGATCGAGCTCTTCCCCGTCGCTCTCACCCCACCCCACCCCACCAACAAGCCATTTTTATCTGTGCTCAATTGCTGTTGCTGATACTCACAACTGCGCTTGTGAGTACCAGACCTATCACGCGTGAGAACTGCAGCAGAACATCAACGTCTAGTCTAGATAGCCTTAGTCCAGGCATGGCTCCCGCACTCCGAGAACCTGCCGTCGGATCCATCGCGGAGCTCGATTCCATGCGTTACGACACAACTGTTTTGACTGATAGGCAGCCTTCTTCCGCGTGTTGTGCGAGAGGCAGTCGGATCGCCCACTCTGGTGTACCATCCAATGCAGCTGGCTGCGCCGCCGCTTCTTCAGCGAATTGTGCGAACTGCCACGCGAACAGTAGAGATAGTTGCGACGAAGAGCTGGGGAGGCGGAATGCGGACGGCGTAAGCGAGGACCGATTGGCTGCACCGTTAGACTCCGATAGTGTCGCTTCCGAGCCTGTGCCGTCAGGGCAAGTTTCTGAAACTCAGCGCTACCGTCCAAGTTTCGAGCTTGACCAGTCCGTAGAACTCTTAGGACCTATCCTTGTCTGTTCCGAGCCAGTCGCTGTCGAGTCCATATCCGAGCCTGCCTCATCCTCGCGACCCCCCGAGGCTGAGAGGGACCGACAAGAATCTCCCCAAGATGAGCAATTTGCTGATGCCTTGTCTGATCCTCTTTCCTCGTCAGACACGGATTTTGATGATCAATCTTCCTTCCGCAACCTTCCCCAGTGTCATCGACAATGTCCGCCGAGCCCGCGACAGCCGTGTCCGCGCCACCGCGGCGTTCCCCCGCCGGTTTCGGGGCTCTGGCGGCTGATTGCCACCGCTACAGTCGGCGTTGCTGCGTTTGTCCTTTTCCGCGGGCGGGGAAGGACGCGGTTGCGATGCGGCACGGGCTTTCCCGATGTGATTGAGAAGGCTCCGCCACCGCAGATTAGGGTTTGGGGGGAGCGGCCACGTGTGCAGGAATATGTAAGCATTGGGGATAGGTTATTAGAAGCTGTGGTTCCTTGGGCGGTGGATGGATATCAGGACTACGAGTATGGTAGCGAGATTAGTGGGGGATATGGCAGTGATCTTAATATAGATGACTAGGATGTAGTATTTAGTGCATAGGATTATACTTCAGTAAAGTTATCTGGGTGTTATGGGCGAATGGCGATCCTATGTACGTGCCTGTTCCTGTCAATGCACGTTGCAAGCCAGTTAGGCCTTGAAGGCATATTTTTTTCTCGTCACTCAATAACATGTTCTCGATTTGGTGTTAGAGCATACTATGTATTGGTGGAATCAGCTGGTTGTTTAGTCGGAGAAGCTACAATGGCGTACGTCAGTTGGACAACAGACGCAGCCCCACCACACAAGCCAGGTCTTTAGGGCGCTTCACCTGAGGGGCGGAAGGCCAAAATCCGAACCGACGTATCAGTTTGACTGTACGAACAGTATCCCAAATGAGTTCGAACACAAATACGTACAATGAGCGAATGTGACACAGGCCATCACAGGTGACGCCATCGCTATTCGCACACGCGGTCTGTTCGAACACAGCGACGTCGCCCACAAAAGAGCGACGTCGCCAAGCATTGGGTCCCAAACATTGGCGACGTCTGGCCGGGTCGCAAACGTTCATGGGCGACCCGGAAGACTGTGGACCAATCATATCAGTCGTTTGTGCGGAATTGTGTGTCACCTATCCCAACCTGTTCGAACAAACGTGTTCGAACGTGCGGGATGATGAAAATCGTGCTTGAGGTGACAGCTCTGTTCAAATTGGCGAAATTGTGCTTCGCGACGTCACGAAAACCACTACGAACATAGGCGAAACTAGTAACGTTTCGCCTGTTCGAACGAGTGTGTTGTTCGAACCGACAGGTGAAGCGCCCTTAGACTGCGATATTCCAAGCTGGGAAGATCTCAGAATATGGTGTGCACTAATTTATTCCACGTGGACTTCCTTTTCCATGCTGGCTAGCCTGCCTGCTCGGCTGGCAAACAAATATCCACTTTCAATTTGTCGCAGACGCGCTCCCATGATTCACGGTGGCGTGCCAATCTCGTGGATCCAGCTCCCAGCATAGCCTGGTCACCGTACTCTATCCATCCAAGTTACATCTCCACCTCGCGAACCCGCATTCAAACCCGCAGTCTGAATGTTACCGCGCTTGATGATGCTAGACTTTATGCTTTTCTAAGGATTCTTAGAAAAGCATTTGCTTGCAACTGCTGTGGAGGCCTTCGTTTAGCTGCAACAACTAAGTCCGCCATGGCGAGCGGCACGGTGAATCCGACAGCACTGAAAGCCCCAGCTCCTGTAGGCTTGCCGATCGCGTCGCGCGCTGAAGGCCGCGGCAAGAATCGATCGCGGCGTGGTGTTGGCGTGAAGATCTTGTCGGGTTTCTCCCAGGGCCACTCGACCGCAAAAGCCTCACCGTTTTCGTCCAGATCTGTTGATTCTCTGTATGGCATCTATCCCGGTCGATTACCTTGTAACCCGGTAACTCGAAGGTCGGCAGCGGCAGATGGCGATAAGGAATGGCGGCTTTACACGTCAGATCCGTCCAATGACGAGGAGAATGAGCCCGTGAAATCAACCGCAACAAGCGATGGAGGAGAGGTTTCGCAGACGACTGGCGGGGAAAGCGCAGCTGGGGGAAGCGCAGGGGGGAAAAGCGCAGCAGGGGAAAGCGCAGCGAAACCGAGCGTACAGACTCATGCAGCCAATGCAAATGATCCCGAGGCGCCGCCGCCCACTCTCGAGCCCCCTCCTACTTCACCGGGTTCTTCTGGTTCCGCAACCGGCGTGCGGGGCTCCGAGTCGCCTCTTAGCGCGCTGCGCGTTATGTTGGAAGTTGCGGAGCAAGAACTCGCAACGGCTCGGGACCGGTCGTTAGCTGCCGAGGTCGAGGCGCAGCGCGTCGCGGAACGAGCGATTGAGCTGAAGGACGCGGCTGTTGCGGCGGAGAACGCGGTGGATGAGGTGCTGCGTGACGTGGAAGCTGAGCTGGCTGTCGAGGTGGCAGCGCAAAAGGCGCTGAACGCTGCTGATGCGGCGTTCGTTGCGCAAGAGTTGGCGGCGACGGCGGCGGAAGCAGAATTGCGCGCAGCACTGCTAGATTTTGTGAATAGGGAGGGCGAAGCGGGAAGGTCAGAGGAGGAAGGCGGACTGGGGGGCGCGGATCCGGGAACAGGCGCCGGGGGGAAGCCTTCTGCGGAAAAAGTTACCGCGGAAAGGGTAGACGCGCTGAAGGCGGCGGTGAAAGAGGCGCAGGAGTTGATGCAGGCGCGCAGGGAGGAGCTGCGCACGCGGCGGGAGGCGCTTACGCAGGTGCTGGCGCGGAAGGAGAGGCTGCTGCAGCTGGCGGCGGAGCGGGCGGAGCGCGCGGGAGAGGCGCGGAGGTTGGCGCAGGAGGCGGAGGAGCGCGCGGCTGCAAGCATGGCGGCGGCGGAAGAGGCGGTGGCGGGGGAGGTGGAGGCAAATAGGCGCGTGTCGGACGCGAGCAAGGCCATCAGCAAGGCGGAGAAGCTGAGCAAAGATATCGCCAAGGTATGGGGGGGCGTTCAATGACAAAAATATGGAGTGATTCTGAAGAAATTCGAGAAACTAAGCAATCAGGTGGATGGGCAGACGTGTATGCGCGATTGGCTCTTCGCGGTGCCGGGAGTGACGATCAAACGCTTTATTACTCTCAGATTTCTCAATGTTTTCGCTGCGATGGTGGTCCGATGATTCATTTGTTCCATTGAAACCCCGAAACCCTGGCTACAGGCAAGGGAGAAGGCGGCCCTGCTGACTGTGGAGAAGGAGGCTCTCCTGGCCAATGAGGTGGCTCGGGCGTCTGCTGCGCTGGCGTCTACAGTGAAAGAGGGCAAGGCCGCAGCGAAGGAGATGCTGCCACGTGGCACCCCTGCTGCAGCTGATGCCGCTGGTGATTCAAACGCCGCTTCTCCTGGTGTAGTCAGCACTGCTGCTTCTGGTAGTGGTGCTGCTACAGCTGGTGGGGTGGCAGCAGGTGGGGCAGGCGGGGAATTGGGTGGCAATGCTGCAGCAGGTGCAGCTGAGGCGGTTGTGGGGGCGGATGGTGGCAGGGGGAAGGGGGAGGAGCGCGAGGAGGAGGCATCGAAGGGAGAGAGTGCGGTACAGAGTGGTGGTGGGGAGTCTGGGAAGGAAGGTGGGGTGAAGAGTGCAGGTAGCAGTGCCGCGACTGCTGCCGCTGCGCCTGTGGGAAAGGTTCCTGGGGAAGGGAATGGGGTGGCACGTGTCAGCCTGGAATTGGACAAGGCAGGTATGGTGGAGGTAGATGGGGGGGAGGTGGAATCGCCTGATGCAGTCCCAGCTGCAGCAGCAGCAACAGCAGCAGCCGCAGGATCCGCACCAACTCCTAAATCTGGCTCATCAGCATCATCATCAACATCAGCATCAGCAGGAGCAGCTTCGGGAATGTCAAAGCCCAAAAAGTCCTCCCGCTGGGTCTCCGCATCTTTCTTCTCTGCTCCAGATGACACCTCCCCCGCCGCAGGTGCCACCTCCCCCTGGGCGTGGCTGCAGAGCGCCCTGCCCCGCGCGCTCGCCGCCTTCAGAAGGCACCTCCCCAAGGCCGTGGTGGCGTTTGTCGTTTTGCTGCTGGGGTGCGTGGCGCTGAACGCACGCATGGAGAAGCGGGCGGCGCAGAGAGGACAGCACGTGCCGCCCGTGACGATGGCGGTTATGGAGGTGGAGCAGAAGGCGGTGCGGCCGCTGGTGGCGGAGGTGCAACGGGTGGGGATGAGGGTGCGGGAGATGGTCGAGAAGATGCCGAAACATGAGCCGAACGAGGAGGAGGCATCGCTGTATGACGTGCTCTGGCTGCTGCTCGCCAGTGTCGTGTTCGTTCCAGCCTTTCAGAAGCTCCCGGGAGGTGAGTTGGGAGCGGTGGTGAGCTGTGGTGAGCTGGCCCGATGCTCATGAGACCCCGTCACTCCGCTTGCATCACTGAGTGCTTGTCCCTGTGCGTTTCTCCCTCTCCGCTCTCGTCCTCCCATCTCTCTCCCGCCTGCTCTCCCGACATGACAGGCAGCCCCGTGCTGGGCTATCTAGCAGCAGGCGCCCTCATCGGTCCGTATGCGCTGTCAATCATAAAGCACGTGCACGGCACCAAGGCACTCGCAGAGTTTGGAGTGGTCTTCCTCATGTTCAACATCGGCCTCGAGGTCAGTGCCTCTCTCTTCTCCCTCTCTTCTCTCGTCCCTCCTCTTCCTCTCTCATCTCCTCTTTCTATCCCTCGTGCAATCACTTCCCTCACGTACTTCTTACCCATCTCACCCCTCTCACCCTTTTTGCCCCTCCCTTGCCGTCCCCACCCCCCATCACCACCACAGCTGTCTCTGGAGCGACTCAACTCCATGCGCAAATACGTCTTCGGTCTTGGCTCTGCTCAGGTACGCGTAGGCCAGCCGCCTGTTGACGCGCCTCAAAAATAGGCCGTGGCTCCGCACACTTAGGCCAGCCTCCCCTCCGCGTTGCTTTGGCTCGGCGCAGCTACCCCTCCCTCCACTACAGCCCCACAGCCCTATTGCTTCAGATACCTCTCCGGTGGCAACCCTTGCTTGTTACCATATGCCTTTCCTTGTTTGCTTTCCCAGAGCTGCTGGGATGGTAGCTTTCGAGTCGACTCAAAAGTCAACTTCAGATACTTCTCCGGTGGCAGCCCTTGCTTGTTACCATATGCCTTTCCTTGTTTGCTTTCCCAAAGCTGCTGGGATGGTAGCTGGCAGCATTTGGTCCTGAAGCAATTAGGGCCTCGAGTCGAGTCAAAGCCGGTTTTCCATCTCCCCATGCTTCCCTTGTCCTCAGGTGCTGGTGACAGCGGTGGTGGTGGGAGTGAGTGTGGCGGCGCTCGCATCAGTGTCAGGCCCGGCTGCCCTCGTCATTGGCAGCGGCCTCGCGCTCTCTTCTACTGCCGTCGTGCTCCAGGTCAGTTCACCTCACCTTAAGGCGATATCGGCTCTCAGGTGATTTTCGCGCTTCAGGTGAATTCAACAGTGGATTCTCTGAATCGTGATCCCACTTACCCTCAGATTAACCATCCATCACATTCGCAAGCACAACCCATCCTGTGATCACCCATCCCCTTCACCCATCCCCTTCACCCATCCCCTTCACCCATCCCCTTCACCCATCCCCTTCCCCATTTCCATCACCTTCACCCATCCCCTTCCCCATTTCCATCACCTTCACTCATTCCCTTCTCCATTTCCATCGCACCGCACGCACATACACTGAGCTCCCAAGCTGCAGCCCCTGAGCTCCAGTCCCGTGATAATAGCCTCGTAATAAAAGTGTAATTCTGAGACGTCTCAAAATACACTTTCTATCACCTCAGGGGGCATTTTGGCTGTAGGGGGCTGGCAGCACCTGAGGGGGCTGTTTGGCTGTAGGGGGCTGGCTAAACCCGAGGAGTTCCATCACTCCACCCTCGCTTTTGTCCCACCCATCATGTGACATGCGATCACCATCACCATCACCCCACCCCCGCTTTTGTCCCACCCATCACGGCAGGTGCTGCAAGAGAGAGGGGAGAGCACTTCTCGCCACGGCCGTGCAACCTTCTCAGTTCTCCTCTTCCAGGTGCCGTCTGCTGCCCTTGAAGCTGCCATATGCTGTCTGTCTGTTATTGCTGTCTGTTGTCTGCTGACTATCCCATCCACTTCTATCCAACCTCCTCTCCCCCCACCTCTCCCCTCTCTCTTCTCTTTCTCCCTTAATCTCCATTCCACATGTCCCTTCCTCCCTGCCCACAACTTATTTCTTAGGTCCTACATCCCATTTCTTATGTCTATACAATACATCTCACCAGGATCTGGCGGTGGTGGTGTTGCTCATCCTCATCCCTCTCCTCGCACCCTCTCCGACTTCTGCCGACGGGGTACGCCACGCCCTCCACCCTCCCTCACCGTCACCCTCCCGTACCCTCACCCTGTCATTCTGTATCTCGCTCATTGCGAATGAAACTGACATGTTGGGATCGTCACCTCGTCATCGCCTGTCTCTCATGTGGCACAACCATCCACTCGTGTTATTCCTCACTGTTCCTCCTTGATCTTCCTCTCGTCCTTCCAGCCACCCCGCCCCTTCCCCCCCTATGTCAGTCCGTGGGTCTGGCGGCCATAGTGCAGGCGCTGGGCTGGCAGCGATGAAGGCGGTGGTCGCCCACACCTTTTTTTCACCTACTCCCCTCTGCATTTCCTCTCCTTCCCCTCCCCCTCCCCCTCCCCCTCCCTTTCCCCACCAATGTCAGTCCGTGGGTCTGGCAGCCATTGCAAAGGCGCTGGGGCTGGCAGCAATGAAGGCCGTCGTCGCCATTGCAGGCATCTTTGCGGGCGGCAGACTGGTGGGTGCTCTTTGGGCGGCAGGCTGGGGGGGTGTGGTTTTGCAGGAACTGTTTGTTGTTGCTCGCAACAGCCGGCATCCCATCACATGTCCTCCTCCCTGTCCTCGTCCCCCTTGCTCATGCCCACTTCCATCAAGCCTCCCTCCCTCTTCGCACTCTCTCCCATCCCACCTGCCCACGCTTTCCCTCCCTTTCATCCCTTCCGCCCCTCCCCCTCTACCAGCTGCGGCGCCCCATATACCGCAGCATGGCGGAGAATCACAACGCGGAGATCTTAAACCCCATGCATGCACCCCACCCCCTCTCACCCCTTCTCACCCCCTCTCACCCCCTCTCACCACTTCCCAACCAGCTATTGCGTCCCATCTATCGCAGCATGGCGGAGAATCACAACGCGGAGATCTTTGCCGCCAACACGCTGCTTGTCGTGCTCGGGACCTCCGTGCTCACCGCCCAGGTGCGTCCTCTTGCACCTCGGGTGGGTTGGTCACCGCCCAGGTGGGTTTTGAGCACGTGACTGCACAGGTGGTTACCTCACTGCAGCCAACACACTGCTCGTCGTGCTCGGGACCTCCGTGCTCACCGCCCAGGTGGGTCTCTAGTGTCTTACAGCGAGTTTTGAAGTGCCACAAAACTCGTGCTCACACCACAGGTGGGCTGTTCACACATGACACTGCTTTTCTCTTCTCCTTATTCCTTTCCCAGTATCCCACCCACTTCCCTCACTCACCTTTCCACTTCACTTCCCCCTGCCGGTCTTCCCATCCTTCTGCAGGCGGGCCTGTCAATGGCCCTGGGCGCATTCCTAGCGGGCCTGTCAATGGCCCTGGGCGCATTCCTAGCAGGGTTGCTGCTAGCAGAGACGGAGTTTGCTCTGCAGGTGGAGTCGGAACTAAACCCCTACCGACCCGCTCGGCCCCCCCCCTCCCCTCCCCTCCCCTTTTCCCACCCGCTCCGCTCCCGTCCCCTTACCTCTCTCCATGCAGGCGGGCCTGTCAATGGCGTTGGGAGCGTTCCTAGCGGGGTTGCTGCTAGCAGAGACAGAGTTTGCACTCCAGGTGGAGTCGGACATCAACCCCTACCGCGGGCTGCTGCTCGGGCTCTTCTTCATGACTGTAAGTGGATTTCAATGTGTGCCTGTGTGCCATTCATGGTAGTTCACTCAGAGGTAGAGGCGCAAGTAAGGAGGCAAGCAAGCAACTCTCTGCAGGTGGAGTCGGATATCAACCCGTACCGCGGGCTGCTGCTCGGGCTCTTCTTCATGACTGTGAGTCTCTCATTGCAATGTATGCTGTGTGCCATTCATGCCAGTTTTCACTTGCCAATGATGCCTCTTCGCCCCTCTCTGCCCTCTGTCCCTCTTCCATCTTCTCCCCTCTCCCTCCCATCCCAAGCAAGCATGTCCAGCAGTCCAAAGCGGCATTTTCTTATGACAGGCTCTCCTTCTCTTTTCCCCTCCATGCCCTCCGTTCCCCCTGCCCCTCTTCTGCGCCCTCCCCAGGTGGGAATGTCCATCGACCCAAGCTTCTGATAGCGCGCTTCCCCCTCATCATCGCATCAATAGCAGCGCTCATCCCCCCTTCCGATTGTGCCCCTGCCTCCACTCTTCCTTGTCTCCTTCCATGCCCCACTCCCAGGTGGGAATGTCAATCGATCCCAAGCTACTAATCGCGCGTTTCCCCCTCATCATTGCGTCAATAGCAGCACTCATCATCGGAAAGACAGCTCTCATAACAGCCATGGGGCGCTACTTCGGTCTCTCCACCATTGCTGCTGTGCGCACCGGCCTGCTATTGGCGCCGGGAGGAGAGTTTGCGTTCGTTGCATTCGGGGAGGCAGTGCAGAAGGTGGGTGTGGGTTAACCAGGGAAGGGTGCTTATAACAAGGTATAGGAGGAATGGTGACAGTTTAGGGGAGCATTGAGAAGGTGAAGTACAAACTCCAGTAGTAGCTGAAGGGGCAGCCCTCATAACGGCCATGGGGCGTTCGTTCTGGCTCTCCACCATTGCTGCTGTGCGCACCTGCCTGCTGCTGGGACCTGGTGGGGAGTTCGCTTTCGTCGCTTTTGGAGAGGCCGTGCAGAAGGTATGAGAATTTTGAGGAAGTATGTTCAGGTATCCTCTCATCGTTTGCCCTTTCTTGTATTTGCACACACACACCTTCACCTTATTCTCACCTTGCCCACCATCAGGGCATCATGCCAGCGCAGCTCTTCCTCATAGTCGGCATCAGCCTGGCCATCACGCCCTGGCTCGCCCTCCCTGCTTGAATCACACCACACACACTTTCCATGCTCCAACCACCCCCCTACCCCATCAGGGCATCATGCCGGCGCAGCTCTCCTCTCTCCTCTTCCTAATCGTCGGCATCAGCATGGCCATCACGCCCTGGCTCGCCGGCTTTGGTCAGCTGCTGGCGGCGCGCTTCGACCAGCAGGACGTGAGGAGTCTGGAGCCGCAAGAGACAGAGACGGACGACCTGCAGGGGCACATCATCATCTGTGGCTTCGGCCGCGTGGGGCAGATCATCGGCCAGCTGCTCTCAGAGCGCCTCATCCCCTTCGTTGCCCTCGACGTGCGCACGTAAGTCTCGCCTCCTCTCATTCTCTTGCTCTCTTCCTCTCTCGCTCTCTTCCTCTCTTGCTCTCTTCCTCTCTTGCTCTCTTCCTCTCATTAGAGACGGGAGGCTCAGTTCCACTCGTGTGGGGAAGATCACCGGCCAGCTGCTGCTCTCAGAGCGCCTCATCCCCTCTGTCACCCTTGACGTTCGTCCGCACGTGAGTCTGACTCCATGTGAACCTCTTGCTTTCAGAAGCTGCACTGCACGGCACTGCACGTACGCGCCTGTCCCCCTGCCTCTCCGCACGGGTGGGGGAGATGATCAGCCAGCTGCTCTCAGCTTCTTGCCCCCGTTAACCCCGCACATATCTGCAGTGAGAGGGCGAGTGCAGGTTAGCCCCTCCACCTGCCAGTCTGCTACGGTGATGCAGGCAGCATGAGTTTCGCAGAGACGTGCAGTATGAGTTCGAATTGATTGCAATCACCTGGGTGGTACCTGATCCCTCTCCCTCTTCCTGCCCCTTTTTCTCCCTATCTCACGCCTGCCAGTGAGAGAGTGGGCGCGGGTCAGAGTCTCGACTTGCCAGTCTATTTCGGCGATGCGGGCAGCAGAGACGTGCTGCACAAGGTGGGGCCGGAGCGGTGTGTGGCGAAGGCAATTGCCCAGGTGCTGCCTGATCCTTATCCCTCTCCCTGTCTCTCTTGCTCCCCTTCTTTCTGCCTCTCTCTCCTCCTTCCTTCCCCTTGATCCCGCCAGTGAGAGAGTGAGCGCGGGTCAGAGTCTTGACTTGCCTGTCTATTTCGGCGACGCGGGCAGCCGGGACGTGCTGCACAAGGTGGGGGCGGAGCGGGCGGCGGCGGCCGTCATTACTCTCGACACGCCCGGAGCGAACTACCGCGCGGTGTGGGCTTTGACACGCAACTTCCCACACATCAAGACGTTTGTGCGCGCGCATGACGTCGACCACGGGATCAATTTGGAAAAGGCTGGTGCCACTGCGGTGAGTCTGGGGGTGATGGAGGGGGGAGCAGGGGGTGTGGGCGCTGACTCACAACTTCCCACACATCAAGACGTTTGTGCGCGCGCATGACATCGACCATGGGATCAACCTCGAGAAGGCCAGCGCCACTGCGGTGAGTCTACGGGAGATGGGAAGTAGGGGAGGGAGAAGGGGAGTGGGGACGAAGGGGCAAGGGGAGGGGAGGTGCAAGCTGGATGGGGGGGATGGTGTCTGGTTGAGTGTTTAACGGAGATTCTAAATCACTCTTCTCCTCTGAGGTGACTTTTGAGGCGCCTCAAAAGGAGATTCTAAATCACTTTTGAGGCGCCTCAAAAGGAGATTCTAAATCACTTTTCTCCTCTTCCTCCCCCTCCCCCTTCCCTCTCCCCCTCTTGTTTATGAACCTTGTACTTGTCCCACTGCTGCCTTTCTCCCATTTCACCTGCCCACCCTAAAACCTGTTTACACCTACTCACCCCTGCCCCCACGTGCATCAGGTGGTGCCAGAGACGTTGGAGCCCAGTCTGCAGCTGGCAGCAGCAGTGCTCGCCCAGGTTTGTTTCAGGGATTTGGGGGGATGGGGGGAGGGGGTGGGGTGGGGGTCGGGTGCGGTTGTACTGCTGTGGAGAATTGTATTTCAGTGGACTAATTTATGCACTGCTTGCTGGGCTGTGTTTATATGAAGGCTGTAAACCACGCTGCCGGCGTCCTCTCATCTCTCGACCCTCCAAAACCTTCACCTTCCCATCCCGCCATCCCCCCATCCACCTCCAAACCATGTGTGCAACGTCAGGCCAAGCTCCCGCCAGCGGAGATTGCTGCCACGCTGGACGACTTCAGAGTGCGACACCTGGCAGACCTCAATGAGGTGAGCTGGTGTTCCTGTCCGCCGGCCGGCAACATTGTTTTGTCTGTATCTTAGCATCTGTTGATTGCGTGTTGCATCCTACTGCACTTGGCACCCCTCGTATTGTTTCATTAATCACAAACGTCCATTTCACTCCCCCCTCGCTACCTTTTCTGACGGTCTGTTCATCTCACACCCTTATTGCAGACGTCCATGGGCTTTGCATCATCATAGACTCAAGGGCACTGCCAACTTACAGTACCATGTGAAACCATTGGTTTTTCTTGAAACCGAATGAAACTAATTGATTTTTTGTTCATCTGAACATTGCTGCCACTTTTTGTGAAGCCGATTATAAATTGTTACTCATTCAGGCTTGTACGGTAGCATTCACACGTGGCAAGTTCTTTCTGACTCTGCAAACCTCCTCGGTGTTGCCAGGTCATTCTCTGCACACGTGACATCACCTCACCTCAGGATACACTGGATGGTCCTCTGTACATGATAGGAATCAGGGGACATTCTTTGCTTCTGTTTACGAGGTGTGCCAATCAATAGGCTAGGTGGAACTTGCAGATTGTTCCAGGAGGAACAGCAAATGCGGTACCCGTCTCTCCCAAATGACATATTACAATTGGGACGGTTGCATGAAGCGAAAAAGGATTCAGTATGTTGTGGAGAAGTGTAATTGCAAGAATAATATGATGAGGAGTTTATGGTTGACACACCACGGCAACTTATGGTACTAGTAGTGATTGTTACACCACCGTTTATCATACACGATTATTACCGTAATCAAAACGTCAGACACATGACGCAAGAGACTTCAGCGGGGATGAACTCTATTTTCGATTGCACTATGCTCTGCATGTGAGCCTTTAGACGTCATGCTATCCGTGGCTGAATTCCTCAAACCCACCGCCTCTTCCGAATCCCTTCCCTCCACCACTCGCTTACCCAAGAGACTGCCACTTTCTTGCCCACTAACCACACCGCTCTGGTCAGTGCTTTCTGTGCTTGTGAACCCGCAAACACCTCCGAAGCCTTCCATACCAACACTATCCACATCCTCACTAACGAGTTCTCTCATTACAGGCTCAGCGGGAGCAGCCACCCACTCACCTTTACCAGTACAGTACTTCTGAATCATATCGTCGATTCGGTGCACTACAGCCTTCATGTCGGGGCGGCGCGTGCACGGCATTTTCAGGCAGTCGAGAGCAATGTCTGCAAAGTCCACTATGGCATCCTCTGGCACCTCCATGGAAGGGTCTTTCAGCAGGTCCAGCTCGTACTCCGCCACTCGTTGGGCCGCCTGGTGCGGGTAGGGGATGGGGCAAGTGCATGGCATTTTGAGGCAGTCAAGAGCAGTGTGTGTCTGCAAACTCCACTATGGCATCCTCTGGCACCTCCATAGAGGGGTGTTTCAGCAGGTCCAGCTCGTAATCAGCCCCCCGTTGAGCCGCCTGGTGGTGGGGAGGAATGGAGGTAGAACAGCAGGTGCTTCATCACCACAACACTTGAAAATAGCTAGTCCTTCGCAACTCGAACAGAGGATCTAGCAAAGGTTCGAGACCACATATGTTGAGCGCCTGCATGCAGAAAGCATACAAGTTTCAAGTGTGAAGAAGGTGCAGAGCTATTTCGAGGGCACTCACCCACGTGGCAATGTGGTAGTCCTCTTCGCTCATCACAGCGGGCCGGCCTGTCAGCATCTCCAGCAGCACCACTCCAAAGCTGCAGAGGAGGTAGGGCCACAGGGGACACAGCAGACAAACACAGGGAGGGAGCATGGTACAGCAATGGTCGCAGTCTGAGGCCACTCCAGGAAAAAAAAAACTGAAAATTGTTTATTCAGCCAGCCTTTCCGCGTCATCTACCCACCTGTAAACATCAGTCATGGGAGAAACCACCCATGCATGATTGTAGTCCCGGTCCACATACCCCGGCGTGCCTGCGATCCTTGTTAGTCACACCCCTGTGTGACCGGCTTGAGCAGCCCACAGCCTTTCCGAGGCATCTGAATGATCTCCATCCACCCACCCACCCGCGCATCCGCGGAGGACACCACCCGTGTGCTACTGTAATCCAGGTCCACATACCCCGGCGGACCAATTGCGCTCGTGGGCCAAGGCGCGCGCTTGGGCCCTCGTTAATCACACCCCTGTTTTACCTGCTTGAGCAGCCCAAAGCCTTTCCGAGGCATCTGAATGATTTCCACCCACCCACCCACTCGTCCATCCACCCACCCACCTGTAAACATCTGTCTCGGAAGACAGCACCCGTGTGCGGTTGTAGTCCCGGCCCACATACCCCGGCGTGCCTGCGATCCTCGTCGCATTCGTGCATGAACAACTTGAGAGATGGCTTAATGATTCCCACCCACCCACCTGTAAACGTCTGTCTTTGGGGACACCACCCGTGTGCGATTGTAGTCTGGGTCCACATACCCCGGCGTGCCTGCAATCCTCGTGGCACCGCCCTCCCCATCCCCCTCAGTGAGCTGTTTGAGCAGCCCAAAGTCAGCGAGCTTGGCGGCCAGCGAGTCGGTGACGAGGATGTTGGCGGGCTTCACATCGCGGTGCACAATGGGCGTGCTGAAGCTGTGCAGATAAGAGAGGCCTTCTGCTGCTCCCAGAGCGATTTTGAGCCGTTGGTGGAAGGTGAGGGGGCCTGCAGGTGAGGTGTTGTACGAGGATGTGCTCTGATGTAAACGTTGATGGAAGCAGTGGTACTAGCATATGCATGCACGTTCATGCGCGCACCTACAAGTGGTAAGGTGGATTCTCAGTCACATCATGCACACGCACGATATACACTTGATTCGCACCACGCTCAATTGAACATACCCAGGACCAAGAGGGACCTTCAGCACGTATGAGGGAACCAGGTCAATAAGAGAACTCACACTTGGCGTGGTGGATGTGGTGCTTCAGGTCGCCATTCCCCACATATTCATACACCAGCACCTGCTCCTGCCGCCCGCTCTCCACCTGCATGTCCACACAGAACCCCAGCAGCCGCACCAGGTTCTCATGCCGTAGGGTTGCCATGGCGCGCACCTGTGCATTGCAAGCAGGGGTAGAGGATTGGGAGCAGGAGGGAGCACAAAGTTAAACCCCTGTTTTCCCCTGTGGTGCTCCTGCCGCCCGCTCTCCACCTGCATGTCCACACGGAACCCCAGCAGCCGCGCCAGGTTCTCGTGGCGTAGCGTTGCCATGGCTCGCACCTGTGCATGGACAGCAGAGTAAGCGAGGAGGAAGAGAAGACGCATGTCACCAGCAGCTGCACCAGTTTCTCTCTTGGCGCTATGTTCCATGGCCCCGCACATGGGCACAACTGCTTCACACCCCACATTCCCCCCTTGATTAGCAAACTGCACTACCCACCAATGCACACCACTGCCCACTAACTGTTTTCCACTGCCCCTTTGAACTACATGCTCACATGCTTCAGACCAGCTAGTGCTGCCTCCCAATCACTGCACACACCTCCTTCTCAAAGTCGTTGGTCATCACTCTACATCGCTTCACGGCCCACATCTCCCCTTGGGGCGAAACACCCAGGTACACCGTCGCAAAGCCCCCCCGCCCCAGCCGGTTTGCGTCGGCCCAGTTGTCGGTGGCTTGCATTAGCTGCTGCAGGGAGAACTCGTGACACACGTCCAGGTCGCCCCACTTGCCTGGTGGAACAGGGGAAGGAAGAGAGGAAGAGTGGGGGGAGGAGGGGTAGCAAGTGGTCGAGAGTTACTTCACTGACCCATTTAGTCATGAGCATGAGTCAGGAGCAGGCAAGCGAGGGATACATTGCAATAGCTCTTGAGGGATTTCACCACAAGGATTGAGGTGATCCAGGGGTACTCACGGCGGCGTTTGGGGAGAAGAAACCACACGAGGGTAGCCGCGAGGAGGGCAAGGCCAAAGAAGCATCCCAGTGCGATGCCTGCCACTGCTGCTGGTGATAGGCCTGGTGGAGAGGGGGAGGAACATGAGGGAGGGAGAGGAGAGGGAAGAGGTTGCCACATGTGTTGCAAGGTGACACTGACATGGTGTTGCAGTGGACTGACATGGTGTTGCAGTGGACTGACTGTTAGTGTTAGCCTTCAATCTCACACTTTGTACTTTGTATTTTCTATATCCTAGAGTAGTGTAGTTTGCACATTGTGTTTGGTTGGGTGTACACCTACATCCCAACCAAACCCAAATGTAATCTCCAAGCAATCTCCAACCCACCAATTGGAGATTGCCTTGGGATTAACCCCAATCCCTATGGATTGCCCCCGATTCCCTTCCCCATCCATTCCCTCCCCTTCTTGGATGTACTTAAAGAGCTTCAAGCTCATTACTAATGTATCGCTTCTAAGCCTAAGTTATGAGATGGTATCAGAGCACTTCAAACCGCACACGCGGATCGTGATCCTCTTATCTCTGCGGATGTTTGTCCCGCAAACCTCGGCGTAACCGCCTTCAATCTCGTTGCCGTTGATTCTCGACATTCGTGGGCGGAAATTCTTCCGCACCACTTTCCCTTCACTCTCGACGGCATCTACTATCTCACTGGTAAGCGCATCGTCGGTGCTTTAACCTATCGCTCGTTTTCGTCGAACATCATCGCATCATTCCTTCTCCTCGTCGGGCTGTCGCCCGTCGCCCTGCAGCTTCTCGTCGGGCCGCCGCCCGTCGCCCTGCAGCTTCACCTTCGGGCTGCCGCCCGTCGCTCCGCATCTGCACTCCTACCCCCATCCCCCTCCCTTTCCCGCAGCTGAACAGGTGCAGCAGCGCAGCCGAGCAGCAGCGCAGCCGAGCAGCAACGTAGCCGCGAAGCCGAGCAGCCGTGTAGCCGCGAAGCCGAGCAGCAGCGCAGCCGAGAAGCTGAGGGTGGTGTGTGGGGGGGTGTGTGGGAATAGGATTAGTAGGTAGTTGACACTAAATTGGCGTTTCAGTCGAATTCTCCTTCAAAAACCCTAAACCTCGAAATTCTCTTTCGTAAACCCCAAACCTCAAGTTCCTATCGTTGACTCAAGAGCGGCGCTCCGCGCGACACCCTAAGGGGTCTCCATCATGGCATTCACCTCGTCCACCATGGCCAACCCCATCACCCCACTCCGTCTTGACGCCTATGGCTCTAGCTCCAACTTCAAGACATGGAGCTATGGGGTTGACAAGCACCTGCTGAGCCGTGACGTGCAGGGATTGGACCTCAAGGATGTCCTCCTCAACCGTGGCAAGGGAAAACAGCCCCTTCTCCCTCGCGAGCCGACCGTATCCGCTAGTGAGGCTGACACAAAGGCATATGAGGAAGCCGTTGAGAAGTACCGGAAGTGGGAGAAGGCTGATGCTGCAATTATCAGCGTCTTCATCGCCTCCACCCTTCCAGAACTTGTCAACGCGTTCCATAACTACCCTACCTCCAACGCCAACTGGAAGTATCTCCAGGATCGGTTTATGAACAAGTCTGCAGTCGGAGTTGCCATCCTCATCCCCGGCATGTTCCACGTACGCCTTGAGGATTGCTCAGGAATGGCCGACTACATTGCCAAGGTTCAGACCATTCATGGCGAACTCAAGGAGCTGGGTATAGTCTTCCCCAAACAGGCCCCTGCAGCAGCTCTTCTCGTTGGTCTCACCACAACCTATGAAATCACAAGGAAGATGCTCCTCACGCTGACTGCGGAAGACCACACTTTTGCCAAGGTCTCCACCGCACTCCTCTCTGCCGAGAAAGACTCCACGGCTCAGGCCAAGGCTTACGCCATCCGTGCTCCCATGCCTCAAGCCAGTGTCGCATCGACCCTTGCCTCGGCGCCCCTCCAGCGCAACCGCTTCTCACCGTGCACCTATGTCGTCAAGTATGGCAATCGCAAGGGAAAAGTGTGTGGTGGCACTAACCACCCCCTTGCTACGTGCTTCAAGAAGAAGGACGACGAATGGTACGCCATCCACGGCATAGACAAGAGGCCACCGAACTTGATGCGTGCACGCAAGGCCAACCTGGTTGAGGTCCAGGACCCCGCTTCGACTAGTGCTAGTGATAGTGCTCCTGCTGATGCCCGTATCAACCTGTTGTTCCCTGGCACTGCCATGATTAATGAAGCTTCCTCCCAGTACCTCGGCTCATCACAAGCACCACAATACATAGAGTTCACACTCGACAGCGGGGCCACACACACTGTACTCAAGGAGACACTCTCCTTCAAACCCTACGCAACACCCATCCCTCTCCTAGGAGCTGACTCAAGCTTCACCACTCATGCCAAGGGTTCATCCACAGTCCCGTGCCCCGCCTTCCCTTCCGGCACTGTCACTGGAATGTGCGTGCCTTCACTCCGCCACAATTTCGTGGCCCAAACGGAAATTCAGGAAGCTGGACTACGCACCATCTTCTGGGAGAACGAGAACTATGGTGATATCCTCGACCCACTCACCAACAAGGTCTTGACTCGTTTCACCCTCAACAGCAGCGGCCTTTACACGCTGCAAGTACCCATCCCACAGGTGTCAACCACCCAAACAGCGACGACTACCTCACCATGCTCGTGCCGCAGTTTCTCCAACCCGACCATACTCTACCACCATCGGCTCGGGCACCCAAACTTCCGCACACTTGCTGACATGGCCTCCAAGAAACTTCTACTCGGCCTGCCAGCCTCACTTCCTCCACCACCAGACTCCCCCGCTCCCACGTGCCTTGACTGCACCAAGAGCAAATTGCGTCAACAGCCCCACCCGGCCTCACCCTCTGTCGCAGCAGGACCACTGGACCTGGTACACCTGGACGTCTGGGGCCCTGCCCCTGTTCCCGCACGAGGTGGTTATCGCTACTTCCTTGTTATCGTCGATGACCAGTCTCGCTACGTCTCTGTTGACCTCCTCCACACTAAGGCTGCGGTTCCAGAGGTCCTCATGGCGTGGGTTAAACAGGCACAGACCGCCTTTGACCGCAAAGTCAAGCGCCTCCACCCAGATGGTGGTGGTGAGTTTTGTAACGACAAGCTCAAAGCCTTCTGCTCTTCAGAAGGCATCCAGCAAAACTTCACCCTCCCTGATAGCCCGCAGCAGAACGGCATAGCTGAGAACCGCAACCACACCCTGGTGCAGATCACTCGGTGCCTCCTCAGCCACTCCAACGCTCCACACTCTCTCTGGGGGTACGCTCTCTACCACGCCGCCCTCCTCTACAACCTTTACCCCCACCCGCATCTTCCCGACACCACTCCAACCACACTCTGGCTCGGGAAAACGCCCACTCCTCGCTCTCTTCGCGTTTGGGGGTGCACCGCCTATGTCCTCCTCAACCCTCAGGCTCGATGGCAGCACGGCGGCAAGCTCGGTCCCAAGACCCAGACATGCATCTACCTCGGACACAACGCCGACTCGCCTGACTACCTATTCCTCAATCCCTCCACTCAGCAGTTGGTCCGGAGCCGCGACGATGTCTTTGATGAGACCCGCCCATTCTACTCCACTTCGGGACGGGACCCTCTCCCTGACCCACCCTCCCTCGTGTGGGCAGACTTTGATGCGCCTCCTGACCTCTCGCCTGCTCCGGCCCCTTCACCCCCTACCCCTCCTGCCACCGCACCATCCCCCTCTGCGGTCTCTGACCCGCCCTCACCGGTGTCTTCGACAGCTGCTCCTCCATCCCCCTCACTTCCCACTCCGCCGACTATGCAGCCACCTCCGAGCGCACCTATCACCTACCATCGGCGGTCCCACCCTCCGGCCCCACCTCCTCCCCCGGTTCCCCCCACCACAGAGGAACCCGCTCTCCCACAGTCGCCCGAGCTGATCACATACCACCGGCGGCCCATTCCCCCGCCCAAGCCTCCTAAGTCAACCCCTCCGACGCCGCCTGCCCCACCCTCTTCTCCGGTGGCTCATGGCACTCGTTCGCATGGCGCGGCTCTTCCACTAGCGCTGGTTCTTCAATACACGGCGATCACACCGCCTCCTCCTGCTGAGGGAATGTGCCCTCTACCCTTCTGGAAGACAGGCATGAGGAGCTGTGTGATCTTCATGCAGTCATTCCTCAGCTCTCGCACATCTTCCCCGACATCACTGACTCACCCTCCCTCAACTTCGCGGAGAACCCGACCATCCCTATCCCTCTCACCGTCCAAGAGGCTTTCTCAGGCTCTCATGCTGCCGAATGGCGTGATGCCATGGAAGCGGAGATTGCAGCATTCACCCGCAACCACTCCTTCGACAACGAGACACCACCTCCAAGAGTCAACATCGTCGGGGGCAAGTGGTTGTTCCGTGTAAAACAGCTCCCAGACGAGGCCCTGGTGTTCAAAGCGCGTTACGTAGCCAAGGGCTTCACCCAGCAGCAGTACCGCGACTTCTTCCTAACCTTCTCCCCCACATCCAGACCTCCCACCATTCATACACTCATGGATGTCGCAGCTCGAGAAGACTTTGAGATCAAATCCATGGATGCCTCATCCGCCTCCCTACAAGGACGTCTCAAGGAGACGGTGTTCATGGACAGACCAGAAGGCTTCCCAGGAGAATTCCCTCCCAACACTGTTTGGAAGCTGAATCGCCCCGTCTACGGCCCTAAGCAAGCCCCTCGCGAATGGCACAACAAGGTGAAAGAAGTCCTCCTCTCCCTGGACTTCCACCCTTCAACTGCTGACCCGACTCTCTTCATCCGCCGTCATTCTGAGCCATTCTACATCCTGGTCTACGTGGATGATTTCATCCTCGTTGCCAAGGACTCGGCCCACATGACCTCAGTCCAGGCAGCCCTGAGCAAGGCTCTCCAGATGAAAGACCTCGGTGACCTCAAGCACTACCTGGGGATGGAGATCACTCGTGATCGCCATGCTCGCACCATTTCACTCTCCCAAGAGTTCTACATCGACAATGTGCTCAAGCCGTTTGAGATGGAGCTGTGCACACCTGTTGCCACCCCGTTGCCGCTGCAACACCTCCTCACTGCTCCAGCTGTACCCACACCAGAGGCCTGCTCTGAGCCATACCCGGAGCTTGTTGGGTCCCTCATGTACGCCATGATGTGCACCCGACCGAACTTGGCCTATCCTGTCAGTGTCCTCTCTCGCTACGTGGCCCCTCGACGCTTCACTGATCTTCACTGGAAGGCGGCGAAGCGGGTGCTGCGCTATCTTCAGGGCACCCTCACGTTCTCACACTCGGTGGGCTCTCCCCTCCTCGCCTGGAAGGTTACACTGACTCCTCCTGGGCTGATGACCAGACCGACAGACACTCCTCTCAGGGGTAATGCTTCACCCTTGGGAGCGGAATTGTCAGTTGGCGCTCCACCAGGTCGTCTGCAGTCTCCCTCTCCTTCTGTGAGGCAGAGCTCTACGCAGGCACCATGGCTGCTCAGGAGGCCCGTTGGCTCACCTTCCTACTCCAGGAGCTTGGTTTCCCACAGTCCGCCCCCACCCTCTGGTGTGACAACCAGAGTACCATCCACATCTCTCAAGACCCTGTGTATCACACCCGCACCAAGCATATTGAACTTCGGCACTTCTTCATCCGTGACCTTGTCCAACAGGAGCAGCTGAAAGTGGAATACGTTGCATCTGACTGCAACCTGGCTGATCTGTTCACCAAGCCCCTTGGGAAAGTTCCCCACCACCGTCTCCTAGGCGCCATGGGGCTCTGTGCACCACCCTCTCTACCATGCGTTCGATTGACGCCTATGGGGGGGTGTTAGTGTTAGCCTTCAATCTCACACTTTGTACTTTGTATTTTCTATATCCTAGAGAAGTGTAGTTTGCACATTGTGTTTGGTTGGGTGTACACCTACATCCCAACCAAACCCAAATGTAATCTCCAAGCAATCTCCAACCCACCAATTGGAGATTGCCTTGGGATTACCCCCAATCCCTATGGATTGCCCCCGATTCCCCTCCCCATCCATTCCCTCCCCTTCTTTGATGTACTTAAAGAGCTTCAAGCTCATTACTAATGTATCGCTTCTAAGCCTAAGTTATGAGACTGACATGGTGTTGCAATGGACTGCAGTGGTGAAGATAGACACCCCCCTTGTATGGTGTGGGTGTGGGGAGAGATCTTCACAGCTGCAGCCTAATTGCAAGGCGTTTCGGAGTTATTTTTGCTGTGAAGAGACCCACCCACCTGGACCAGGGACCGTGGTGGTGGTGAGTATGACGCACGTCGACCCGTTACCACTGTCAAACGCACTGTACCCCACGTCACACTGGCACGAGAAGTTGGCCGTTGAGCCCTGAGAAGAGTCCCCTCCCTGGGGGGGCGGCACACAGGCCCCATGGCCGTCACAAGGGCCGTTGTCCGTGATGCTGCAGAACGCCCTGCATGCCGCTGGCGTGCGCTGGGAGAATGTGGGTGAGGTGGAGGAGGAGGATGGGGAGGAGGAGGAAATGGAGGAGGAAGTGGAGGAGTTGGGAGGGGTGTTGGGGTTGGAGTAGGGAGTGGCGGGGCAGGAGAGGGGGGCGGTGGGCTGGAAGCAGTTGTTTGCCAGGCTGGCCTGCCCCCTCTCGTACTGCCGTGCCACCACCAGTGGTGCTCTGGTGGAGCAGCAGTGGGATGGGCGGACGGCGAAAATGGGTGGGAGGGCGGAGGGAGGGAAGGAGGGCGGGAAGGAGGGAATGGTGGGAGGAAGTAGGGGGATGACTCAGGTATTGCGTGAGCCAAAAGCACCCGCCACAGAAAGCATCTAGCTTTAGAAGCACCCATTATGGGAGGCACCCACTTAAGGAAACACCCACCCACCTGCCCGCCTCTGACTGCACGACGCAGTTCCCTCCGGCTTGTACGCTCAGATCCCCGGGCTCCACCACGCTCTCCGCCGCGATTTCTGATGGGCAGAACTGGCAGCCACTGGCGAAGAGCACGGGGTCGCCGTAGAAGAAGTTGTGGGCGAGGTTGAGGAGGGCCCCTGCTGTGGGCACTATGCCCTCAAAGTTGCGGTTGATTCGCCCGTAGAAGCTGTTGTGACTCACGTCCCTGTAGGGGGTGGTGAGGGTATTGGTTATGGGTGAAATCTGGAATTTAAACCATCAATCTGGAGAAGAAAGGAAACCGTTCTTGGGGAATTCAAACAGAGGCTTATAGAACAAGTCGAGGGATGGGGGAGCGTTTTCTCAAGCATCTCAGAAACAGGTTCACAGAACAAGTCGAGGGATGGGGGAGCGTTTTCTCAAGCATCTCAGAAACAGGCTCACAGAACAAGTCGAGGGATGGGGGAGCGTTTTCTCAAGCATCTCAGAAACAGGCTCACAGAACAAGTCGAGGGATGGGGGAGCGTTTTCTCAAGCATCTCAGAAACAGGCTCACAGAACAAGTCGAGGGATGGGGGAGCGTTTTCTCAAGCATCTCAGAAACAGGCTCACAGAACAAGTCGAGGGATAAGGGAGCGTTTTCTCAAGCATCTAAGAAACAGGCTCACAGAACAAAGTGGGGGGTGAGGGAAGCGAACGGACAGTCTGTTGAGGCAGGGGAAGGCCCTGAAGAGACAATCGGGGATGGGGCCGTAAAAGCTGTTGCTGCTCAGGTACCTGGTAGGGCGGGGGGCACAAAATGCGTTAGTGGTGGCAATGAGTGGCGCAATGAGGGAATGGGTGAGGGACGTGAACTGATGAGAGAACATGGAGGGCAGACAGAGCGGATGAGTGAATGGGTTCAAGGGGGGTGAAAGGGTGAGTGATGCTGATGACTTACAGGATTTCTAAACGGGACAGGTTACAGAAGGAGGACGGAAGCTTCCCTGTGAGATTATTGTGACTCAACCAGCTGCAAGCAGCAGCAGCACGATTGGAGCAGTCGCATAGGAAAGCGCGAGTATGACGACCAACCGATGTGAATATACACATACACGGGAGAATTTGACTGGCAGGATGATTGTACCAGATGTGATTATACCAGACAAGTGTTGAGAATGCGAAGGAAGCAGACTATGAACTAACGAGTGAGAAGAGTTTGACAACCGGGTGCACATCTCACAGGTGGCGCAGGGAAGAGAGTTGGCCCAGGCTGTCTGGGAGGGTGCCCTGAATGCTGTTGCGCGCCAGCAGCCTGGTGGGCAGGGCCCCACGGGTAGGGTGGTGAGGGAAACGGTGAGTGAGTGAAGGGAACAAGCCATGGTGCAGGGGTATGGTGGCATGGCACGATGTGGGGATCCTGGGCGACCCCCAGGAATAATATATAATATATAATAATATATAATAATATATAATAATATATAATAATATATAATTCTATATATTGTTCTATAACTGCCTGTAGTGTAGAATACTGTAGTCATATAACTTTCTGTTTGGTGGTGCACCTTTCTTTCCTATTTGTACTGCTCGTTCTATAGTGAACAACACTCTTTTGGCCAAACTCTCTCGACATTGCAGCTTCACCCCAAAACCGTAGTCCTGAGTTATCTTAGGCTTCTAACATTCCACCTTTGCTCTTTCTCCAATCTAGCTTCCGCAACGCCGGCATCATGCCGCTCTAGCACCTTCCTCGCTGTCCCCCTCCGTATGATGTGGAGTTGTCTCACTATGGAGGTGTGTCGGTCGCAACGCATCCTCGCGACATTCCTTTTTTTACCAGTCAAGTGTGTTCTGTGTCAACTATATATATGCTATGGTATAATGGGTAAGCTATAGTGGGGTGGCCAACATGGGGTACAACCCCTTTAGGTTTTGTACTTGTCTCGATAGTTTACACCATTCCTGCTTGTTAATTCCAAACATGGTTTCAGAGCAGTAGGTCCGTAGGACATTTTTTTTTTTCGGGCCCACCATTACCTAGTGATCGACTACGGTTACCCCGTTACCCCACGCCCTGCCCTGCGCTGCGCTGTTAGCGCGCGCCCTGCCCTGCCCTGCCCTGCCCTGCGCGTGCCAGCGCCCTGCCTTGCGCCAACGCCCTGCCCTGCGCCAGCGCCCTGCCCTGCGCCAGCGCCCTGCTTTGCGCCAGCGCCCTGCCCTGCGTCCTGCTGCAGCTTGCGCCTTGCGGTAGCTGCACGTCGCGCCCTGCGGTAGCTGCACGTCGCGCCCTGCTGCCCTGCGCGTCGCGCCCTACGGCAGCCTGCGCGTCGCGCCCTACGGCACCCTACACATCGCGCTCTGCTGCCCCGCGCATCACGCTCTACGGCAGCCCGCGCGTCGCGCGCTGCTGCCCCGCGCGTCGTGCTCTGCTGCCCCGCGCGTCGCGCCCTACGGCAGCCCGCGCGTCGCGCACTGCTGCCCCGCGCGTCGCGCTCTGCTGCAGCCCGCGCGTCGCGCTCTGCTGCCCGCGCGTCGCGCCCTGCTGCCCTGCGCGTCGCGCCCTGCTATAGCCAGCGCGGCGTGCCCTACTGCCCTCCACAGCGCCCGCCCTGCTATCCGCGCCGCCCAGGCCGAGCCGCGCCACCCGACACGATCCGCCCTTCTGCTTGTGCTACAGCTGCTGCTGGTGGAGGTGCTGCTAGGAGTGCTGGATGTGCTGCAACCTAGCCTCACGAGCCGCTCTGCTGTTCGTCTTACTGCTGCTGCTACTCGTACTACTGCCTTTACTCCGTACTGCCCTAGAAGTCGCGCTCCTCCTAGCTTGCCCGCCATGACTTCACTTTGTAGTCGCGGTGGGAGTGGTGACGGCGGTGGTGGCAGTAGTGGGAGTCGTAGCGGCCGTAGTAGCAGTCACTGTGGAGCTGTGTGGTGTGGAGTCTCTGACGGTGGCCAGATGCAGCTACGGCGACGTCCGACCCTTACGCCCCAGCAGCTTCGTGAGTGGCTTTACCAGCGTGGGACGTCTCCGAGTCCTGGTCGTTGTCCATACATCATTTGCGTAGGCCGTCGAGCTGGTCAGATTTGTGGGACACCTGGTCACGCACAGTCCCGCTGCTTTGCCTACTTGAGTGACACCTGGCACGCAGAGTTTGGCGACGAGGCTGAGACCCCCCACCGGCTTGAGCTGCTTAGGTCGGGCGTTGATGTCTTTGCTTTAGAGTATGACGCCATCCTTACTGCCATGTCTGCTTTGCTTGGTGGTGTTGAGAGTGACTGTTACCTGTGTGTGCTTTGCTTGCTGGTCTAGGTGCTAGTGAGGCTGCTGCCTTAGGTGCTGGTAAGTCTGCTCTCTAAGGTACTGCGCCTCCTGAGGCCTTGTACACCTTCACGCTTGACTCAGGTGCTTCCCGCTGCTTCTTCCGTGACAGTACCGCACTCACACCACTCCCTGCACCTGATGCAGTCTCTTTGGCTAAACCCTCAGGGGGCCCAGTTCTTGCACGGTCCACCACTGTGCTTGCGTGCCCGGCGGTTCCGTCTGGCTCACTGTCAGGTCTCCACCTTCACTCGTTCTTGACGAACTTGGTGAGCAGCGCCGTCCTCCAGGATCATTCGGTTGACACCTTTACCCCTGGAGGACAACGTTTGGCGATCTGTACGTGCTCCAGGAATGGCCGTCACCTGGCCACGTTCACCCGTCGGCCAGGGTCGAGTCTTTACACACTGACGACTGTGTCTCCTCAGGTAGCTGCTGTCGGTCAGGTGTTCGCGTCAGGTCTAGTTGCCTCCCCCTGAGAGTGTCATTCCCTGTCGCACCAGACTCTTCTTTGGCACCACCGCCTGGGTCACCCTTGCTTGCCACGTCTCCGTAGCATGCACCGTCGCCTCCTTGTGTCTAGTCTTCCCAGGTCTCTCCCTCCCCTCCCTGCCTCGCCTGCACTGCCCTGCCTTCCTTGCGTCGAGGGGCGGCAGCGCGCCGCTCCTCACTCCTCTTTTCCCCCGACAAAGGCTCCTCTGCAGACCCTCCACCGGGACGTGTGGGGCCCAGCCCGCGTTCGTGGACAGGGCGGTGAACGGTACTTTCTGCTGGTTGTCGACGACTATTCGCGATACACCATGGTCTTCCCTTTGCGCATCAAGGGTGAGGTCCCTGCTGTCCTGATCCCTTGGATCCGAGCAGTTCATCTCCAGCTCCGTCGCAGGTTCCGCCAGGACCTTCTTGTCCTACGTCTGCACTCTGACAGAGGTGGTGAGTTCACCTTCGACCTCTTGCGGGCCTTCTGTCAGGTGGAGAGCATCGAACAGTCGTTCACGCTTCCAAGCTCACCGCAGCAAAATGAAGTTTCTGAGCCCTACATTGGCTTAGTCATGGAGGTCGCTCGTACCTCCTTGATCCATGCGGCGGCTCCCCATTTTCTGTTGTCGTTTGCGGTCCGGTAAGCCGCGCAGCAGCTCAACCTCTGGCCCCGTGTCTCCTTGCCGGAGACCTCGCCCACACTGCGTTGGACGGAGGAGGTTGGCGATGCGTCGCGTTTCAGGGTCTGGGGTGCTCGTGCCTTTGTCCGCGAAACGTCCGCGGACAAGCTCTCCTCCGCACCATTCCCTATGTCTTCCTTGGCTTTGTCCCTGACGCGCCTGGCTGGCAGTTTTACCACCCCACCTCGCGCCGTGTCATCCCCTCTCAGGACGTCACCTTTAACGAGTCGATTCCTTTCTACCGTCTCTTCCCCTACCGCACTGCCCCTCTCCCTCCCCCCGCCGTTTTTCCTCGCTCCAGGTCCTCCTCCAGTAGACCCTCTTCCGCCTCAGGGTCCTACTCCTCCAGGTGTGTCTCAGGTAGACCCGCCCCCCATGGCTCAGCCTGTAGAGGTCACTAGCGACTCAGGTGCTGCTGCGGGAGGTGCTGCTGGGGGTGCTGCGTCTGGGGGTGCTGAGCCTGCGCATGAGGTGCTGGGGAGTGAAGAGCTTGGGGGTGCTGAGCCTACAGCTGCGGAGTCTGGGGGTGCTGAGCCGAAGGGTGCCGGGTTGGGGGGTGCTGAGTCTGCTGGCGTTCCTCTGGGTCTCGTTTCACGACGCAGGCCTGTCTCAACACAGCAAGCACGAGATTGGCTTGCGTCGCGTACCCGTCTGAGGAGTCGTGCTGCTAGAGCTGCTTGTCGTGGAGGCGCTGGGAGTGCTAGTGTCTCTGGTCCTGGAGGTGCTCGTACTGGAGGTACTCGAGCTGCCGGGACTAGTACTGCTCCTCGAGCTGGTGGTGTCGGCTCTGGGGGCGCTGCTGCTGGAGGTACTGGGGCTGGAGGCCCTAGAGCTGGTGCTGTCGACCCTGGCGTTGGAGACCCTGGAGCTGGAGGTGCCGGTTCTGAGGGTGCTACTGCTGGAGGCCCTTGAGCTGGTACTGTTGACTGTGGAGTTGGGGACCCTGGGGCTAGAGGTGCCGGTTCTGGGGGTGCTGCTACTAGTGGCGCTGGAGCTGGAGGTTCTAGAGCTGCTGGAGGCGCCGGAGCTAGAGGTGCTGCTGCTGGAGGCACTAGAGCTGGAGGTTCTGGAGCTGCTGGAGGCGCTGGAGTTGGAGGTGCTGCTGCTGGAGTCACTGGAGCTGGAGGTGCTGCTGCTGGAGGCCCGGGGCTGGAGGTTCTGGAGCTGGTGGAGGTGCTGGAGCTACTGGTACTACTGGCACTGCACCGCCGCGACTATTTTTCGTTCCGCCGTCACAGTCGTCTCTGCCACCGCCCGACTCTGTGCTTCGCCAGGTTCTTAGCCTCCCGTCTTCTACTGGCCTCCCGTTACAGCCCGGCGCACCACTGCCTACTCCTTCTCCTTACACTAAGCAGACAGACTTGCTTACAGAGCGTCGTGAGTCTGCGTCTCGTCTTGCCTCGCTTGTTCGCGCGCATCGCACTGGTAGTCGTGTTCCTCGTGAGCGTCCGCCTCCTGTCCCTGGCACACACGCTATGGCACTCCGTCCTTCCTCTGTTCCACAGCGTGTTCCCCTACCGTCTCCTCCTGCGCTTTCTCTGCCTGACGTTCAAGACCCTGAGTCTGACCTGGTTCGTGCTGCTCACCCTACTGTCACGCGTCTGCTGCTAGCCATTGTTCTCACTGGCCCGTCGTTTGAGTCTGCTGCTGCGTCTGCCTTAGTCTCTGAACCTATTGACTTTGCTGCTGCCTGTCGTCTAGACTTCGCTGCTGGTCTTGTTGCTGAGTCTGAGTCTGTCTATCCTCTGTCCGTCGGGGGTGAGTGTGCTCTTGGCACGGACGTCCTAAACGACAGGCAGGAGGACTTTGAGTGTCTTGCAGCCATTGCGCATCATCTCGTGGCCATGCTGCTTGCCTCTGAGGGAGATCCTGATGCTCCAAACATCCCGACCCCGCGCTCTTACGTTGAGGCGATCGTGGGTGAGTACTTCTCTCAGTGGCAGATAGCCATGGACGCAGAGATGGCATCCTCGAAGTCCACAGGCACCTACGCCGACGCAGTTCCCCCTCCAAGGGCGAACGTAGTCAATGGCAAGTGGATATTTAGAGTGAAGCGACCGCCAGGTTCTCCGCCTGTCTTCAAGGCTCAATACATTGCACAAGGCTTTAGTCAGCGATAGAAAGTTGACTTCTTCCATACCTTCTCTCCCACCTCGAAGATGGCCACTCTTCGGGTGCTGCTGCACGTTGCCGCTTAGCGTGACTACGAGCTTCACTCTTTGGACTTCAGCACAACGTTCTTACAGGGCAGTTTGCACGAGGAGATCTGGCTGCGCCGCCAACCTGGCTTCACTGGGTCGTTCCCTCCTGGAACCCAATGGAGCCTCCGCCGGCCAGTCTACGGTCACCGTCAGGCGCCTCGTGAGTGGCACGACACACTGAGGACGACACTTGCGGCTCCTGGGTTTGCACCTTCCACTGCTGACCCGTCGCTGTTTCTACGCACCGACACTTCGTTGCCGCCGTTCTACATCCTCATGTACGTCGACAACTTGGTCTGTGAAAATGCTGACACTGAGGCTCTCGCCCTTGTGAAGTCGGATATGCAGAAGAGACCCACGTGCACAGACCTGGATGAGCTGCGCAGCTACCTTGGCCTGCAGATCACCCGGGACAGAGCACGGCGCACCATCACACTGACTCAGTCGCACATGGTGCAGCAGGTCCTTCAGCACTTCGGCTTCACTTGGTCCTTGCCACCGTCCATTCCCCTGGCTATAGGTCACTCACTCTCAGCTCCAGCTTCGGCAAGTCCGTAGAGCCGAGTGGTCCGTACCCAGAGCTAGTGGGCTACCTCATGTACCTGATATCCTGCACTCGTCCTGACCTTGCGTACCCTCTTGGCCTCCTGGCATGCTACGTGGCTCCTGGTAGGCACCGAAAGGTAGACTTCGATGCTGCGAAGAGGGTACTGCGCTACTTGTGCAGTACATCGGGCATGGGGCTCGTGCTTGGAGAGCGGAGCTCAGTTGTCCTCACTGGGCACTCAGACGCTTCTTGGGTTGACAACCTGGCTATGCAGCGGTCGTCACAAGGTTACACGTTCAGCCTTGACTCTGGCTCTGTTTCTTGGCGGTCTACCCGCTCGTCTTTTATTCTCAGCTCCAGTTGTGAGGCTGAGATCTACGCCACAGCCATGGCTGCACAAGAGTTACGCTGGCTGACCTACCTGCTAACCGACTTGGGAGAGAGGCCTCGTTCTCCTCCAACTCTGTACGTCGACAACAAGGCTGCCATTGCCTTGTATTAGGACCACAGACTGGAGCACAGAACGAAGCACATCGCTCTGCGTTATTTCCTTGCTCGAGAGTTGCAGCAGCGTGGTCAGCTTCGTGTCGCCCACGTGCCCACCCTGGCGAACATGGCTGATGTGTTCACCAAGGCCTTTCCGGCTGGTGATCATCAGCGCTTCTGCACTGCTCTAGGCCTGGTGCCTACGTTTCCTCACTTGCTGTAGATTTTGGTTGTACTGTGATCTATATATATCTACCTGCATGTTTACTCTTGCTAGGTAGTGATCACTGTACTGTTGTTGTTGCATATATACCTCTGCGAGTCTGGGCGAGTAGTATTGCATGGATGTGGGCAGTGGGACGGGTCAGTGCGTCGGCGATGTTTGAGGCTCCCTTTGTGTAGGTGACCGTATAGTGAAAATTGGACTCGAGAAAATCGAGCCAACGAATCTGTCGTGGGTTGAAGTGTGGCTGTGCGCGGAGGTACTGTAGTGATTTATGGTCTGTCCGTACTGTCACGTCTGCGCCGGTCAAGTAACAGCGCCACGCTTCGAACGCGTGCACGATCGCAAGCATTTCGCGGTCGTGTATCGGGTAATTTTTCTCGAGCGGATGCAGTTTTCGTGACTCGTATGCGATGGGCTGTAGGCCGTTGCCGATGTCTTGTAGTAGTACGGCTCCGATGGCGATGTCGCTTGCGTCGGTAACTATTTCGAATGGGCGGTGTGGGTCAGCGATGCGCAGGTTGGGTGGTGAACAGAGAACATTTTTCAGGGCAGAGAAGGTAGCATGCTCTTTCTCCCCCCACGTAAAAGCGACCCCCTTCCGTAACAAATCCGTCAGCGGCGCTGTTAACCGTGCCATGTCGGGGACGAACCGACGCACGTAATTGACGAACCCCAAAAAGCTCTGTTGTTCCGTGATATTTGTGGGGGGGTGCCAGGCTTTCACTGTGTCTAACTTCTTTGGGTCAATTTCGACCCCAGCCTCCGAAATAACGTGCCCCAAAAACTCTAGCCGGTCTTGAATAATATGTAATATATAATAATATAATGGCCCACATCCCCAGGATGAATGGGGGAAATGTGAAAAGTGTTGGCTTCACTCCTGTGCGTGTGTTCCATGGCTTTGCCATGTCCCAGGAGGGAGGGCTCACAGGGACTCGAGGGAGGTGATGGAGAGCAGGCTGGTTGGGAAGGGCCCATCCAACTGGTTGCTGTGTTTTGAAGCACCTCAAAAACAACTTTTGAGGAGCCTTAAAAACAGTGCATTGCGTGCTAGCACGGTTTCACTGCTTGCACTAGTCCCAGGCAGGTGGGCTCACAGGGAGTCTAATTTTGAGGCGCCTCAAAAGTAGGGTGCGCTCACAAGGACTCGAGGGAGGTGATGGAGAGGAGGCTGGTTGGGAAGGGTCCATCCAACTGATTGTTGTGCAGGCTACTGCACATGCCACCGCACAACCAATAGCACAAGCCACAGCACATGGCACAAGACGTGTAGAAAGATTTTCAAACAACATGCCACACGTGTCAATCAAAGGGTAAGCCACGTGTGCCAAGACTACCCTATAGGGTACCTCTCATACATACGCACAACTATTGGCAGGTTAACAACAACGCGTGTGTGCTCGTGGGTCATTGGCAGGTTAACAACAACGCGTGTGTGCTCGTGGGTCATTGGCAGGTTAACATACTTGTCAATGACCCACGAGCACACACGAGCCGCAACTTGTTTCACTTACGGGGCATCTCAATCAACCTTTATCTCATGCACATTCATCGAGGTGCCTCAGAAGCAGAGGCTCAGAATAAGCAAGTGGGTGAGTATCAGCTGCTCAGATGCAGCGGGTGACTCACAGGATGAGGAGGGAGGTGAGGGTGGAGATGGAGGGGGGGATATGGCCCGTGAGGTTGTTGCCTGCTAGGAACCTGATGGCCCGGCACGGGTGGGAAGCAGCATTCCTTGCGAACAGCAGTAGTGCATATGCATCTGCAGAAGAAGATATGCACGCGAGGCACAATGCGATTGCTTTGTGCTGTCGGTGACACGATAAGCTACCTCACCTGCACGGCAGTGGCCGCATGGCAGTGGGCACACTACACAGTTCATGTAATAAAGCTGTCTAGAGACACACCGGTCATGGCGTGACAAGGCTACCCTACCCCTATCTACCCCTTGCACACACACAGCAACGACCGTACAGAGCATAGAGAGACGTGTTCCAGTGAGGGAAGTCCGGTAGAGACCCTGCAAGCTCGTTGCCAGAGAAAGCTACACCTACCCACACCCACACCAGTGGCCATACAGCGACCGTACAGAGCAGTGAGAGACGTGTTCCAGCGAGAGAAGTCCGGTAGAGACCCTGCAAGCCCGTTGCCAGAGAAAGCTACACCTACCCACACCCACACCAGTGGCCATACAGCGACCGTACAGAGCAGTGAGAGACGTGTTCCAGCGAGAGAAGTCCGGTAGAGACCCTGCAAGCCCGTTGCCCTCCAGGTGCCTGCAGGGGCGCGCAGGCATGGCAGCAGAGGAGGGGTTTGCATTGGCGCCCGGGCTCGATGCAGCGGTGAGAGAAAGACGGGGCTCAAGTTTGGTGCATGGTCCACCCTGTGGCGCATAGCTGGTGCAATGCGGCTCACAGTTGTTCCAGGGATGCTAAGGTTTGAAGGGCGGACTGTTAGACATGATCCAACGAGCAGCAGTGGAGGAGAAAGTTTAGCAAAGGAGAAAACAGGTGTTGTAGTAAATTCTAGCTAATTCGCGTAGGGTTTTGTAAGAACGAAGCTCTTCACTAAGCAGTGGCTAAAACACAGACAAACATGTTTTGGCTGTAGGGAAGCCCCTAGCAAGCCTTCATCAGTGCCGAATCCACCACCCTGTGGCCCATAGCTGGTGCAATGCGGCGTACAGTTGTTCCAGGGAAGCTGAGGTTTGAAGGGCGGAGGGCAGGGCGCCGGAGAGCAGGTTGCGCGACGCCATGCTGCCCACACACACGCACAGAGATCCAATCTATTCTCCATCCGGAAATCTCAGAGCATCAAGAGATGGTAGTCACAGTGCGTTTCCGCCAGGAAAATGTTCCAGAGCAGTAAAGAAAGGACATGAGATTCTTGCGAGCCAGCAAAACATTGCTCATGCTATCTCCTGGGCTCCAATTTAAAGCTTTCGGATACATGCTTCTGGAAAATGGCTTGAGAGTTGAGGCTCACAGGGTGCGGAGAGATGTGAGGGAGAAGAGAGCGTCTGGGATGCTGCCATGAAAACGGTTGTCGCTCACCTCCCTGCATGCCGTGTGGCACAGCAGGGCAGAGCAGAGCAGAGCAGTGACAGAAGAGTCGGCAGAGACAGCAGAGGCAGCAGATGCAGGCACCCATTTACACGCGACCCTTCGACTTTGGAGCAGGGGCGTGGGCATGCCAGTGATATGAGTAGAAGGGCGGGAGAGTATGATGGATGTGGGGAGAGCATGGGGATGAACAGGGCAATGAAGGTACGGAGTTAGTTACTACCCAAGGACTTGACGCACTAAATCTTAAACCCAAGGCATTGTGGACTCACAGGTCGTTGAGGTTAACCAGGATAGACACTCCCAGTGGAATCGAACCCGAAAGTCCATTGCCCTGCAAGCCACTGCGGGAGGGAGGGAGGGACGGACGGACGGAGGCAGGAGTGGAGACAGGAGGAGGAACACGGCTGAGAAGCTTTGCTGTGCCGTGAGGCCGGGGAGCAAGCAAAGTACTGCAAGGCGAGTGCATGCTAGTTGGGGCTGAAGGCATACAGCATGGCGAGACAACTGCAGACCGGCAGAGCAGCAGCGCATGTCATCAGCATGGAATGGCCAGGCTTGAGCACATCAGCATGGGCACAGCACCGCCACATAATCTCTGCCACATCAGCACCACCACATCAGCACCACCACATCAGCACTGCCACATCAGCATGGCCATGTCAGCATGGGATGACATACAGAGCGACGAGGCTGGTGAGGGCAAGGACAACAGCGGGGAAGCTTCCTGAGAACTGGTTCTCGCCCAACTCGCTGATAGGGAGGGAATCATCCAGCCAGCGCAAGGGGTGCGTGCTGCGATCAGTCAATCGTTTAGGCCCCCCCCACAAATGAAGGGAGCAAAGGAAGGGAGAATTGCGTGCGGGGAGAGGGAAGGTGCGCAAATGCAAGGGTGGCAGTGCAAGGGAGAATGTGGGATTGCGAAAGGGAAGAGGGGGGGGGGGGGTGGGAAGGCAGTGAGGAGGTTGAGCGGTGAGGGGCAGTGACTCACAGGAACTGGAGGGCGGTGAGGGATGAGAGGGAGGCGGGCACAGACCCTGAGAAGTTGTTGCTCTTTAAGTTGCTGCCGGGCATGCGGGGCGAGGCTAGTAAGGTTGTGCCGCGCCATGGCGTGGGGCAAAGCTTGGCAAGGGTTGAGGTGCCCACACCCACATCACTACCAAGTTTGGGCCATGATGGTGAGGTGAGGTGATTGACACAAGGGAGGACGAGCTGAAACAAGGGACCTGGCTTCGTGTGCACATGGAATGTAAGAACGGTATGTCGTTCTGGGGTGCCAGCGCGGTAGCATATTTTCTTACAGCATGGCGAGCCATGGCATGTCCGAAACAACATCGAGTCCGCTGTTGAGCTTATTTCCACCCAGGGACCTGCATGGATTGTAGACAGTGGGTTAACATCACATCACATACACGGAGAATCGCTTGGGGTGCATGGTGTGGGATGCATGGTGAGAAAAACGCCTGTGATGTGAGCAGGAATCGAGTCATAAGCCATCTGACGGCTGTCAATTTAACTCAACTCGGTGCGTCATGAGTTGCTTGACTTTGAGTTAAATCTATACTTAGTACATTTGAGGCTCCTTCAGATCCTGTCAGCTCTGATCACGTATCGCTCACTTACAGCTCACGCATATACACCAGTCCAGTGAAGGTGCGAGGGATGCCTCCCACAAGTAGGTTGTTCCTTAACTCCCTGAAAAAACATGCAGTGAGGAAATTGCTCCATAAAAGGGTGTGACACATCATAAAACTCGGGGAAGTGCAGAAAGAAGAGCATTGCGAGATTTTTAGGATCTTGCAGCCACTGGCCATAATTCATGCAGATTATTGCCTGAATTACAGCTTCATGAGATTGAGCAGGGCTGCCCTCCTTACCCCTTGTGAGCATCCACGTGACTCACAGCTCCATGAGGTTAGGCAGTGATCCCAGGAAGTCCGGAATGGGTCCGCTAAATTGGTTGTTGCCAAGGTTGCTGAGCGAAGGGGAGTGGAAACAGAGCACATTCGAGATACGCGTGAGTGAGACATGACCACAGGTTTATATGTGCGGCTAGCGCGTGGCTCAACACAAACACGACCACAGCCGCCCAGCAGGGCTAAAAACGGTCCAGAACGCGGCATATGAGTGAGGAATGACTCAAGCTGGGCGTACAGAGTCTCTAAGTTGGACGAGAAAACTTGAGGAAGCGTCCCTGAGAGCCTGTTGGTGTTGAGGTTGCTGGGTGCAGGGGTGATGGACAGAGCAGTGTGATGTGAGCAAGATGGCCTTCGATTCACTGAGTTGTAGAGCTGTGAGGAGGACCTCCTGTGGAGAAAACAAGGTGCTTGTCATTTAAATAAGGTGCAGAGAGACAATAGAGTGCTCGTGTGGGACTTGAATGGTATGCTGGGATGAGGTGAATGGGTGGGCAGCAGCACTCACAGGTAGGTAAGGGCTTTAAGAACGGAGTAGCTGCCTGGAATGGAGCCTTCCAGCTTGTTCCCTTGCAGATCGCTGAGAGAGAATTGAGTTAAATGAGAGGTGGTGGGAGGGCAGGGCGACAGTGCAGAACTGCTCTTGAGGTGCCTTACAGATTTCTGAGAGAGAGCAGAGAGAAGCAAGGTACGGGACAGGGCAAGCGTCGAGTTGTCTCATATCAAAACATTTCAGATATCTGGGGAGGAAAGGTGTAAAAAGGGAGGCGCAGGAAGGGCGGTGTGGCGAGCAAGCGGACAGGGAAGGACTGAGGAATCAGACCCAGAATCACTCACAGGCGTTCCAGTGCAGTGAGTCCGCTCCACGTCTCTGGGAGGAAGCCCGACAGGCCGTTGCCGACAGCAAGACTGCAGGAAGAGAGGCAAAGCAGTCAGGGTGCTGACAAGGTGCGGCACTGACTGACAAGGTGCGGCACTGACTGACAAGGTGCGGCACTGACTGAAAAGGTGCGGCACTGACTGACAAGGTGCGGCACTGACTGACAAGGTGCGGCACTGACTGACAAGGTGCGGCACTGACTGACAAGGTGCAGCACTGACTGACAAGGTGCGGCACTGACTGACAAGGTGCGGCACTGACTGACAAGGTGCGGCACTGACTGACAAGGTGCGGCACTGACTGACAAGGTGCGGCACTGACTGACAAGGTGCGGAGGCCGGTGAGCCTGTCAAGGTCGCGGGGAATGTAGCCCCGGCGCTGCTTGTACTGGTGCAACACGTCTCTGCCAGGGCGGGAGGGTGCCAGGCCAGGAATGGTGCGCACACAGGAGGGATCTTTGACAGTTTCAAAACATTCCAATTCAGACATGAAAATTATTACTGGCCAATAAAAATGAGAAATTTCTACTGAGATGCGGGGAGGCATGTGATTGCTCCTTGTTGAACAGGGCCTGTTTGTGTGCTCTGCTGAGCGCTCACATGTACTGGAGGCGGGTGAGGTCAACAATCCAGGTTGGGAAGTCGGAAAAGTAGTTGTAAGACAGGTCCCTGGCGGTGTAGAGGGGTTGAGATCGGTGCCCGGTGGGGAAGTGGGAGAAGAGGGCGCGGTTGGTGAAGAGGAGTGTGTTGGGGAAGGGGTTGGCGAAGTTGCAAGACACATTCCTGAAGTAGGTGCTGGTTGGGAGCGTCTCAGTGCGGTGCAAGGAGGTGAGAAGCGGTGAAAAGAGGATAGATACCCCTCAGACCAGGAGCAGCACAGCAGCACACAAGGAGGCAAAATGCACGTTGAGAGGTGCAGGGGGGTCCAGTGCGGTGATTACAGGTGGGTGAGCTGAGTGAGGAAGCCGAGTTGATAGGGCAGCTCCCCTACCACTCTGCCCAGGTCCCCTAGCACACTGATGGCGAAATAAGTGGGTTACAAATCAGTGGGTTACAACCAGAGGGCAGGAAAATAGCAGATTGGGATGCATGAAATCAGTAGCAATGGAATTGAGGATGGATCCGAGGACATATAGAGAAACGCATTGAGAAAATTAAGGTGGACTTTAGCAAGCAAGCGAGCGACACTCACAGCTTGTACAGGCGGGTGAGTGTAGAGAGGCCGCTGAGAGCAGTCAGTCATGTGGCCGTCTGTCATGGCATCGAAGCCAAACAGCTCCAGCGTGTGCAGGCGGGTGGGGTGCGACACAAAGGTGAGAGAGAGTGGTGGTGACTGGTGAGGGCACTCACAGCTTCTGCAGGCGGGTGAGGGTGGAGAGGCCGCTGAGGGAGGTCATGTGGCCGTCTGTCATGGCGTCGAATCCAAAGAGCTCCAGCGTGTGCAGGCGGGTTAGGTGAGACACAAAGGTGAGCGTGGTGATGGAGCCTCCCACCTGGCCACCCTGCAGGTGAATGTTCCTGGGGGATTGGTGGTGGTGGTGGGTGCAGTGTCACGTGTAGTATGGTGTGGTACAGTGGGTAAACAAGAAGAGGGGGTGAGGAGGGACACGAAGGTGAGTGTGGTGATGGAGCCTCCCACCTGGCCGCATTGCAGGTGAATGTTTCTGGGCGGTGGTGGGTGTGGTGGGTAGTGGAGGTTGATGAGAGACGTAGCAGGAACTTTCACAGAGGGGGTGATGGCGGTGATGGGGGTGATGGGGTTGATGGGGGTGATGGGGGTGATGGGGGTGATGGCGGTGATGGGGGTGATGGGGGTGATGGGGGTGATGGGGGTGATGGGGGTTATGGGGGTGATGGGGGTGATGGGGTTTATGGGGGTGAGGCGTGGAAACGGGACCCACAGGTGGGAGAGCTTGGACAGTGCAGATAACGTGGACGGCAGCTGTCCTGATAAGGATGTGTATGCGAGTTCCCTGTGGGATAGATTGGGGGAGCAGGGCAGAGGATTATGGAAACAGGATAAAACGGGATGCAGGGAAGCAGGGGCAAGGAAGCAGGGGCAAGGAAGCAGGGGCAAGGAAGCAGGGGCAAGGAAGCAGGGGCAAGGAAGCAGGGGCAAGGAAGCAGGGGCAAGGAAGCAGGGGCAAGGAAGCAGGGGCAAGGGAGCAAAGACATGGTGCAGCATGGAAGAATTGCGTGGCACTCACAGGTGCTGGAGGTTGGTGAGGCTGGAGAAGGTGGAGGGAATAGGTCCGGATACTTGAGTGGCCGAAATGTCACTGGTGCAAGGGTATACCACGCCACACCACGTCACACCGTGTCACACCATACCACACCATGCAAAACCACGCCAAAACACAGCGACATGCACATAAAAGAAGAAAGGGAGCACAGTGAGAGACTACAAGCCCCATAGAAAAGCTCTGGAACTGTTGACGGAATGGAAGGCGAAGCAGTTAAGAGGCGGCAGATGAGCGAGAGGCATGGATGGGAGTGAGCAGGGGGAAGGAATAGAGGAGGAGGCAGGCAGAGGCAACTCCCAGGCAGATGCGCCACGCCAGGCGTATTCACTCTTGCTCTCTGGGCATTCAGAGCAGGTATGTGCCAGGTTAGCCTGGTTCCTACTGGTAAGCCAGGTGGCACCTCAAGAAGCGGAGGCACACAGAGGTAGTTTACAGATAAGCCAGGTTGGTGAGGGTGGAGAGAGTGTTGGGCAAGGCGCCGGACACAGCTGTGTATGAGAGGTCCCTGCCATGGGCGAGCGGGCACAGCGAGAGAGAGGGCGCAAGTAAGGGGGGCCCTTAGCAGGGTTCACGACAAGCATGGAGGGTAGAGGTTGGGGTAGGACTGAATGGTTGGATTGGGGAGAGGGGGTGAGGATGGAAGTGATGAGCGCTTATGGGACTGGTCAACGAAGGAGAGGTGGGCAGCGGAGGCCTTATGGGCATCACATTGCTTGCGGCCATGCAGACTCAGTCTGGTTAGCTTGGGGCAGATGCAGCTTGGGGCAGATGCAGCTTGGGGCAGATGCAGCTGGGTGGGGGGGGGATGGCATGCGGTGCCGTGCCTCCCGGTGCCGTGTGGTGCGGTGCGATGCCGAGCCGTGCAATGCGGTGCCGTGCAGTGCCGTGCAGCGTGGTGTGGTGCCGTACGGTGCGGTGCGGTGCAGTGCAGTGCAGTGCCATGCGGTGCGTCGCAAGGTCTCTTACAGGAAGGCCTTTTACACCACTGCAAGGTGACTTACAGGAAAGCAAGGGCTGGTGGGAGGGTGACGGCATGCAGCTTTCCCTGGACTTGAGGGCTGTTGGCCAGGCTCCTGACGGGGGAGGGGAACCACCAGTCCACACGCACATATGTGGCATGCAGGGAATGCAGGCAGGACTTACACAGGGGCGTGTGCAGGCACACCCGTGAGTGGTTTCATACACAGTACGTGACTTACTCGCATGCGGTACATATACAGGTATAATAAGCACGTACAAGCACGTACATGCATGTACAGGCACGTACAGGCACGTACAGGTATGTGAGGCGCCATAGCTGGGTGAGTGCATAAGGAGGCAGTGAGCCTGACAACGTCCCCACTTGCGACAGGTCCCTGTAGCAGAGCCACGGGGGGGAAAGCACGAGCCCAGCAGGCAAGAATCCGGAGGGGCGAGAGGCAGGGGGGCAACAGCTATAACACCTCGCTACCCACTGGGTCAAAACGAGGGTGTTATTTGGCGCAGCGGATTGCCCTTAACACTAGCCCACAGGCGTTACACTCGTCCCCTCCTGGCGCCAACGTCCCCGTTGGCTCTCTACTTCAGGGAGTCGGCCCCCCGCAGGGACCTATTCGCTGTGTTCCAAGCAGCGACTTCGCTGGGTGAAGTCAGCGGAGGATCGTTCGCTGGGTTCGAGCTGGTTCCAACCACACGTCAGTTCTCGCCAAAGGCGGAGAGTGTGGTCCAGACAAGATTCGAGCCCTAGGCTCTGATACCAGTATAACACCTTGCTACCCACTGGGTCAAAACGAGGGTGTTATTTGGCGCATCGGACTGCCCTTAAGACTAGCCCACAGGCGTTACAACAGCCCAGGGGGAGAAACGGAGGTATGGAGTGAAAGAGGTCAGGAAGAGATATGGGCTGGCTCGGCACACATAAGCATGTGTGTATCGCTCACACACAGATTGTTGAGGCTTGTGACCCGCGGGGTGCTACCTTGTGTGACCTCAGAGACTGCAGACAAGTCATTCCCAGGGGACTCACTCCCAGGCGACTCTTTCACAGACGACTCTTTCTCAAAAGTGACTCAAACTTCTTTTTCTCTCAAAGGTGACTTACAAACGGGTGACGAAGCCTCGAGCGTCGCATGTGACTCCAGCCCAGTGGTTGCAGGAGAGCGAGTGGTTGCTGTTGCTCGGCCATGCCCTCACAGCACGGTTGATGGCTAGCAGCGCACGCACTGAGAGAGGTGGAGTGCGGTGAAGGGAGATGGAGGGAGGTGGAAGACGGTGCATCAGCGAGCAGGTGAAGTGGATTTTGCGAGAGTGCATATGGAGAGAGGAGAGGGACGGAAAGCAGCGGAGAAGGCTGGGGTGGAACACGCAAGACACCAGGGGAATGACATTCAGATGAATGACATCTGATCTGAGGATATGACATTTTGGAAAAAATAACCAAGGGAATGACGCTTAGGAGAAAGACATTTGAGGGAGGCGGCTAGGAAAGTAGGGGATGAGCTGAGGTAGAAATGCGCCGATGTCAGGCTTCAGGGCAATGCCTGGGAGTCCATCAATACTAGATTCCAGACGCCTGACCTGAGAGCTTCTATACGTTTTTGTTTGCCTGTCATGTGTTAGGCGTCTTGCCTCTACAGCAATACCAGCGATAAAATCCATGTCAGATGCGGATAATGGGGATAAGTGGAGAAAATGGGGACAACGGATGGGCCTCACGTTGCGACGGAGCGAGGGGAATCGATCCGCGAGGAACGGCGAGGGAGATCTCGAGGAGGCCATGGCGGTGACCAACGTTCTGGACGTTATACGCGATATTAGCTGCACCGCCGTGCGTATAGTTCAGCGCTAGGGCCAATGCAATGTCTAGAAACAACAGGACGCTTACGGCAGCGAAAGTCATCCGATGATGTTCCTTACAGACGTCTCTCATAAAAGATTAGGATGCGGAAGCTCTAATCGATTCAAATAACGTTCTACCGACAGCCTTCCAGCAAGTACTACTCAACCTAGATTCCGTCGAACGAAAAATGCCAGACTACTAAATAGCTGCTACTCCGCACGTTTCAAGCGACGACTGCAGCCACTTGGAAAAGCCAGGCTAGTAGTGATCGCTGACGATCCTTATCGCCTAACCTGATACGCAACTCTTGGCGTCGGCGGGAATACGCACGAAGCAGGAAATGCTAAGAGCAGTTGGGAGAAACATACGACTATGTTAGTAACCTCGACTGGGAGGAGATTCATCAACGTTGGAATTTGTGCTTGTGATTGGATGGGAATGTCGGTTGCATAGGCTTTGATTTTCTTATGCGGTGGAGTCGCGAAAGTCAACTCCATGCTGTGTTGTCAGACAGTCTGCCACCGATGTACGCGGTGTTGAACGCCGCACTTACTCTTAATGTAGATAAGGTGCTGAAATTGACACGATACTGCAGTTGTATGTCTGGGCTAAGAATGACTAGGATGGAGTTGGGGGTGAACCTATCTTCCATTTCTGTTAGAGAATGTTGCCAGCACGCACAATGCACTACGCAGGCCAGGTAACAGATCGAGAGGAAAAAAATATATTGGTGGCATTGAAGGCTAGCCAGCCATATGGCAACAGCTAGCAGGTCACTCCACTTCTGCCAGATAGTCATTCACTTCAGCTGGGGTTAGCACTCTGTCATTGCAACAGAGCACGTACACAGGAAGACGTACACAAAACAAAAAAAGGGGTTCAGGTGACAAGACAGGATCAAAATTAAGTCCAGGAAAGCAAATACTTCCATCTCGCCGCGAGATGCAGGGTAACATACCCCTTCTTTCGCTCACTCTCGCACTCACCTGAACTTCTTGTCGCTGCCCACAATACCAATCTCAATGTTGTCGCCTGCAATTTGCCCCTCAAACCTGGTGAGAGAGTGCAACATGGGAGGGGGAGGAAGAGGGATTAAGAGCTGAGGATGACAGACCCAACAACAGCCAGACAGCAGAATCAACCAAGAAACTTCCTTAAAGTCAAGAGGCATAGTGCTTCACAAGACGACACTCTTTCCCAGCACAGCTACAAAGAACCTTCCATTCCGTGAGAGTAAGAGGGGCCACACGTACCCTTCTTTGAGAGTGAGAATGGCCGTGTGAATCGCATCCTCTAGCTCCATGTCCTCTGTATACCTGATACAGGCATGTACACCCCATACAAGCACACCCCATACAAGCACACCCCATACAAACACACCCCATACAAGCACACTCCATATAAGCACACCGCCATATAAGAACAACCCACGAACTGTTAGTCATTCACAAAAAAAACAAAATCAGAACGCATTTTCAAGCACCAGCAACCGTCTGGGTTGAAAGGCAAAGTCGAAAACTATTACTCTTCCCCTTTCTGACCTCTTCTCAAGAAACGTCTTGGCGTTGGTCATGTTCTTGCCAATGGCGGAGGCCTTCCATGCGAAGTAGGAACCCGAGGGATCCACCTGGTACAGGTGCGGGCCCTGTGAGTCATACCCCGCCATCAACAGCGACACACCGAACGGCCTCACCCCCCTGTCACAATGCATGGTGCATGTGGGTACGGTACATGTGTCAAGTGGGTATGGCGCACATGCAAGAACGGAGAGAGAAGAACAAGTGAGAGGTTGAGAGAGGTTGACAGAGGTTGAGACATGAGAGATGCCTCATGCAGCATGCTCAGTGATTATCTCTGCCTTTGCTCCTCCTCACGTACACTAGGCATGTTCCACAGGTTCAGGTTCAAACACTTTCAGACCCAGACTTGTCAACAACTGTAGCACCTGCCATTGTGAAATTACAACTTCACCTGACCGCATAGAACCCCCTGTCTCACCCAGATTGATTGAACCCCGGCATGACAGGCGATGTTTCCACCACTAACTGACTGCAAAACTAATGACTTTTTTCAGACGTCCAGATTGACTTTTTCCAATCCAACAACACAGATTGACTTGCAACAACACAGATTGACTTGCAACAACACAGTTTGACTTGCAACAACACAGATTGACTTGCAACAACACAGATTGACTTGCAACAACAAAGATTGACTTGCAACAACACAGATTGACTTGCAACAACACAGATTGACTTGCAACAACACAGATTGACTTGCAACAACACAGATTGACTTGCAACAACACAGATTGACTTGCAACAACACAGATTGACTTGCAACAACACAGATTGACTTGCAACAACACAGATTGACTTGCAACAACACAGATTGACTTGCAACAACACAGATTGACTTGCAGGTGGCCGTGCCTCACCCTGACTGAGTGAACTCCTGCATGACCGCCGCTGTCTCCCGCACCAGCTGCGACACTGGAATGCCCTCCTGCCACATGCATGGGGGGGGTCACGTGAGCATGAGAGGGGGTGAGGAGGAGGAGCACGACGATGGGCATGTGTGGCACGGCGATGGGCATGTGTGGCACGGCGATGGGCATGTGTGGCACGGCGATGGGCATGTGTGGCACGGCGATGGGCATGTGTGGCACGGGGATGGGCACGTGTGGCACGGGGATGGGCATGTGTGGCACGGCGATGGGCATGTGTGGCACGGGGATGGGCACGTGTGGCACGGGGATGGGCATGTGTGGCACGGCGATGGGCATGTGTGGCACGGCACGTGGTGGTGAGCACCAGCTGTGACGGCGGAATGCCCTCCTGCCACATGAATGCACAGCGTGGTGCCACGAGGGCGCGTGAGGGACAGGGTGGGCTGGGGATGGGCATGAGCATGCGTGGTGGTGCACTTGGGAGGAGGCGTGGCAGAGGGCTGGGAGATAGGACCAAAAAAAAGGGTTGGGGGGAGCAATGTGAAAGCATATTATGCTTATTACGGGCGTCACCCTGTACTCGCTATAGCATGACTCACCTTGTACACACTGTAGTAGGACTGTGCTGACTTGCGGCTCTTCCTCACTAGCACCCGAGAGTCAGGCCCGATGCCACTGGCGGTGGAGAGAGCAGAGGGAGACAACGGAAAATTTTGGGAGGTGTTGTGGTTTCCTAATCAAGGCCAAAATCACTTCATGTTCACATGCGAGTGAGGCCGTTTGTGGGGTACATGGGTGCATGGGCACAAGAGGTTGAGCCAGGACAGGACTGTGTTGGTGGGTTGGGAGAGAGACGCACACCTGTAGACAACTCCCGAGTTGTCCGTGAGCAGTTGAATCTTCTTCACCTGAAACACGCACATGAGTGAACACCACAACAGTCACACCAGTCATTCCACAATGAACTACCAGTGCCTGTGAATCAACCTAGAAGTTGCCTGGGCGCAAGAAAGAGGCGTACCGAGGTCTCGTCTATGAGCTCTGTAGGAAGCTTCTTCTCCGTGGCAATCACCACGCCATTGGTCGCTGCAACGGTGGGATGCGGGAACGGAAATATGAAATTGCGGCGTGAGCAAGCAAGGGGGGTGAGCGGGGAAAATCAAGTCATGAGTGGCCTTGCGTTACAATAAATCCTTCGACTCAGAAACGGCTCGTGATGACTTCTGTAGCGAGTATGACAGTGTTGGAGGCCTGAGCGGACGGAACGGTACGCACCTTTGATGCCGAGCGACGTGGCACCGGCAGCCACGGCGTTGAGTGCATACTCGATCTGCACCAGCTTCCCTGACGGGCTGCATACGACGAGGAGATGGGGGAGGTGGACGAGAATTAGGTCAGGAACGGAACTGGCAGCGACCCGTTAGAAAACCTGGAAAGTCTGACTGCAAGTTCATGTCGACAGAATCGCAGTAGAGAGGAGGGAAAGACGGGAGCACGGAGGATGAGGTATGCGGAATTATCACCTGAAGGTGGTGAGGGAGAAGGAGTATTGACTATCGCCCATGACGTCGCCGGATCTGCGACAGCTCGATGCGACTTAGATGCGACTGAATTCGAATTCAACGCGAATGCGACGCAAAGAAATGGAAGCGACGGAATACGGTATCGCCTAAGTGACCGAGAGAAATCGACGATAGCACCGGCGCGATGGATGTCTGTCGGACAACACACGGGCGTCACTTGGCGAGCCTATCACGCCGTCGATCTGAGGAATGAGAGCTGAATGTGGGACTACAGCGGTAGAGGAATGGGATTCTGCAGATGGCTGCTTCACGATGCAAGCACCTCCTGACAAATATGGTGTCACAGGGATGTTCACTTTGTGTTTGAGGAGTTGGGTTGAGTGCAATGCCGTGCAATTTGAAGCGGTGATGCATTCACCGTTCTGAACCGCTGGCGTCTATCTGTCCCTCACGAGGTCTCAAAGGACTTGGATCAACTCCCAGAAGTCTGTACGAGTTTCAGTGGACACAACCAGGTTAATGTAACTTATCGAGCCTCCAATAACGGATCCGTCTGAGAATTTCATTAGTCATCAATAACGGGGCAAGCTAGGCGCCAACTAGGGATTTCCGCTTCCCCCTGTAGCAACTAATTTGTCTATGCTCTTACCTTTTCTCAGCCGCCGCTTCAGGAACTCCCCGTCAGCTGCGCCGTGTTTACCGCTCAGAATCGTTGTAGAAATCACGAACGTGGTAGGCGGCATGAAGTGGGCGAATCTCGAGCCGTTGATTTCCGCGATTCGTGCATTCGTCCCCGAGCTCGCGTCGGCGAAACACAAAGGCCAAGCAGGTGAGCCACTCGCATTCAGGTCGCTTTTCCCGCCTCGCAACGCAACCTCTCACATGCGGTTTCTATTGCTGATCCCGCCTAGTGGCGTGGCCAGGCGGTCCCATACGAAAATCATGCCGCTCCGCATCTCTGCGTCTCCGCACCTCTCGTTACAGGCAAGATCGCTGTGATCGGAGGATGTCGCGAGTACACGGGAGCTCCCTTCTTTGCCGCCTTTTCCGCGCTCAAGCTGGTGAGCGCCTCTCACGCCCTGCTGCAGGCTTTACTTACAGCCATACTCACAAAATAGGCACTAACAGTAAGTAAGTCCGTGCAGCTGGTGGGCCAGTCTATGGAGCTCCTCTCACAGCGCTGCTCCCAGCCAATGCTCCCCTTCCTGTTCCCCTTTCCCCAACCTTGCTTCTCAACATTCTCTTGGCCTTCGTGATCGCCTCCACTCAACATCACGCAGGGTGCAGACATTGCCCACGTGTTCTGCTCACGAGAAGCCGCACCTGTCATTAAGGCGTACAGCCCAGAGCTTATAGTGCACCCGGCATTGCGGGAATCTTATGATGTCAGGTGAGCGAATATCCCTTGCTCCCTGACTCTACAGAATGAAGCTGGGCCGTTACTTTGTGTAACGCTCAGCGCTGCTATCTGTCAATGCCACAAAGATTTGCATCTTGCTTCGTCCCTTGACTTCAGGCTTGAAACGCCCGCTCAGCGGAAAGAGATTGTCGAAGCAGCTGTAAAGACGGTTTCTGATTGGCTGCCGCGGATGGACTGCGTTGTGATTGGGCCAGGCCTGGGCAGGGACTCGCTGCTGCAGGAGTGTGTGGCTGACATCATGTCTGCCGCCCGGCAAGCACGCATCCCCATGGTGATCGATGCGGTGAGTCGTGCCTCGCATCCCAGCAGCTGTCATACATGTAGCTTTGACACACATCTATCCACCACATACCATGTCAACACCAATTCTATCTCGCACCATGTTCCTCCTTGCAATGCCCTTGCAGGACGGCCTGCACCTGGTGTCTAACCAGCCGCACCTCATCGCCGGCTACCCTCTCGCCATTCTCACACCCAACGTCAATGAGTTCGCTCGCCTCTCTCAGGTTGTCGCATCTCAGCGTGATTCCACAGCAGCACCACCAGCAGCAGCAGCAGCTGTTTCTTCCGGGCCGTCCAACCCGGGCAGTTCGCTTGCACAGCTAGCAGCAGAGTGGGTACTTGCTTGTAGCACTACAAATTATACTTGCTTGCAGCAGTTTCTTTGTCCTGACTGAATTGCTCTTTAATTTGTCCTCTCTACCTGGCTGCAGTCTTGGAAGGGTCACAATAGTGCAGAAGGGAGCAGCTGATGGCATTTCAGATGGAAATGCAGGTACCATACTAAGAGTTTCTCGAGCATTACCACTGCGACCCTTTGCACACCTCTCAAACTCTCTTGGTTCTTTTGCCACCCCACCAGTTTTTGAGTGCGGTCTCTTTGGATCACCCAGGCGATGTGGCGGGCAAGGGGATGTGCTCTCAGGAAGGTGCGATGCAATTCTATTTATAGCTTTCTGATGCAGTTAATAACCAGCAGGCAGTTGCTGTGCTGCTGCACTGCACATCACCTCATGATCTCTTGGCTTGTTGACATGGCATGGCATGTGCGAGTTTCCCTGCTACCGGTACCAGCATCGCAGTGTTTTTCGTCTGGGCTCGCAAGTGGCAGCAGCGGCTACAGGAAGAACAGCAGCAGGGTGGTGGTTCCTCCGACGCTGAAATGCAGCAGCTGGTGGCAGAGCAGCTGTCTGACAATCCAGCAGTCATGGCAGCGTTTGCCGGGTCGCTGGTGGTGAGGAGAGCAGCAGCAGATGCCTTTGCCAAGCACAAGCGCAGCATGACCACGACCAACATCATTGAATGCCTTGGCGATTGGTAAGGATATATGTCTTGGTACATTGTGCCATTGTGCTGTGTTTTTACCCTCAATGTCCTTATGCTTCTGGTCTGTGGTGTTTTGTTTTGTTTTGCCTGATGTTTTGCCATCAACAGTGTCGAGGACCTTTTCCCTGTTGGTCCATGGGAGCCACAGCCAAACCTCTGACTCAACATGTGTGGATAATGATGTGGATCCAGTTGTTTGCTCTGCCTGCTTATCATGTAATGTATGCACTATTCAGTGGGGGAATCAAACCTAGTATAGCATCAGGCTCTAAAACAGAGTGTACAGATCTTTTACAAATGCTGCTAGTATCAACAGAAGCGTGTGGCAAATGCTACCTGATCACCCCAGCAGAAAGCCCAAAGAATCATACCTTGGGAGGAATATACCGGTAGCAATCAAAAGGACAGGCAGGCAGCTTCCTAGGAAAGCCTTGCCCTCAACAAGCCCTCTAGGAGGCATTCTCCTGTTCCTGTCCCACCTTGCGTCCCAGAACATCGCGCAGGAATGGCCAGCGGAAGTGGGCTTGGGAGCGAGTGAGCAGCGGCACTCCAAACTCCATGTTGGGGCTCTGCAACAAGCAACATCACCACATTAGGCAAGCAATGATGCAATTCAGGGGAGCAAACCAGAGTAGGTACGCGCATTCGTAGAGTTGCAACAAAATCTGGATAAACCTACCATTGTGCAGATGCCAATGTCAGTGCGGCAGACGGGGTACTGCTGAGGGCAGCAGTGGTGGTGATCGTCGCAGCAGGTGGCATGCTCCATGGGGCAGCATCCCCACGACAAGCAAATCTTTCCAAGGGGGAGTCCGCAGCAGCAGGTGGTGCCGTGAGGGCACTCGTGCTTGCGGTCACACACCTCAGGAGAGGGAGGAGGAGTGGGAGGAGGCTGAGGGCCGGGAGGTGGGTTGGGCCCCTTCTTGATCGGATAGGATGCCTGCATGATGCCAACCACAAGGAAACGTGAGTGGAACAGTTGATACCCGCATGGAGGAACGAAGGGAAATACGTCACGGCCAACAGTCAATTACATTCACGTGGGGGATCAAGAGAAACCAACGCGATGCAAGACATGGCTCCGTACCTGCATGGCAATACCGCACTGGCCCTCCTCAGCTTCAACATTCCTGACCAGCCTGATGAAGCCGTGGTCACCCCAGCGAGGACCCCACGAGTTCTTCACAATCCAGTAATCCGTTCCGTTCTCTGTGCCGTATCCGACGGCCAGAACGCCATGGTCCAGATCTGTGCCGCACTCACCATCGAAAATACCCTGAGAAATGACAAAATTCAGGCTGTTAGCTTCGACAAGAAAGAAGAAATGTTGCGCTAAGTGTAGATTGTTCGTCTAATGCCACTCACACTCGAATAGAACTGGAATTCCCGGCGATCCGCCTCAATTGCGACGGAAACAGGCTGAGCCGCAAGCGCCTTCTTGAGGCCGGCTTCGCTGTTGGAAGGAACGTCTTCGAAGTCGTCAATTGTGACAACGTGGGTGTTCATCTGAAAGTGAAAAGAGGGATCTGTATTAGTTCATGGATCCTTACACTGGTATGTGTAAGCGTCGTTTGCAAGGCAATCACTTACCTTGGCCTTGTTGCACTTGTGAGCTGTTGCGTCGTAAGGATAATCCTCCTCCGTGTCAAGACCGCCGTTCTTAATGATGAATTCGAACGCGAAGTCCATGAGTCCACCACCACATCCCTGATCCTTCTTCGTGTCGCAGTCAACCAGCTCCTGCTCTGACAGCGAAATTAGCTCGCCAGTCACGATCTTGTTGATACCCTCAACAGCTCCAGTAGTGGAAAACGCCCAGCAACTCCCTGCAAAACGCCAGAATAAAAAGTTCGGCAACTGTTTGTAAGACTTAACAAATTTCGCGACGAATAGTTTAAAAAAAAAAGAGGAGACATCATGGTGAAAGGATCAGTGACGTTACCGCATTGACCCTGGTTCTTGACTTCAGTCACCGCTCCCTCCTTCCGCCAGTCGACTTCCTCCGGAGCGTTGACATCAGCGTGCATGAAGTTTCCGCGAAGCGGCCTGCCGCTGCGAGAATCCATGTCTTTACGGAAGCCCAAGCGCGATGACTTGAACTCCTCGTGCGACAGGTGAGCGAACTCATTGAGAGCAAGAGTAAACTTCTTGCCCTGCGAATTCAGGTTGTGAACGAAGTGCAGGTTATCGACGAAGGTGCGAAAGCGAGACTCCTTCTCAGCAACTCCGAAAACCTTGCCGTGCTTCACGGACCATCGCTCGAAGAGGGCCTGCAGCGAGACTTCATTTGCTAAGTCCGAAGGAGCGTAGCCCAGATCCGCACGAGCAACGCTGACCAGACAGCACCAAGCAACCAGAGTTACGACCAGCGTAGCAGATGCCATTGCGGAGGCCTGGACAATCTGTGATCAAACCCAAGATACTACCGAGATCAAACTGAGCATGACAGGAAGCAAACGGAATATTGCTTCTTGTAAGTTCCTGTGTCACCCTGGCACGCCACCTGCTATCCTGCCTCCCCTTTTCTTCCAAACCAAACCTCTCCAGTTGATGTCCCCCCCAAACCCAAGCCAAGCTGGGAACCTCTCCCGAAACAAAAGCATCACCCTTGGGAACTGCAACGGTTGAGACCTTGAAGTTCGGGAGTTTGCGAGCGCTCGCGAAAATCGCAACTGACGGCTTCCCTAAGTTAGCGATCGTCGCGCATTCATGAATTTGTCGCTCCGGTTCTCATTGCGCACGGTTAACCAGTCCCAGGCAGGTTCAGAGCGAGGGGCAGATGTGGCACGGCTGACACAGCACTGCGTGGACAGCAGCAAAAGTAGCTCAGCCTGGTCCGCACTGACAACTTTTCAGCAGTGGCTTGTCTTACGATTGGAGGATAATGTTGACACTCACCAGGATATTGCCACGCGACACCACTTTGAGATAAAGCCGTCGATCTGCGACACCACTCCGATCAATCTGAAGGCGCCACCAGGCGGGCAATCCAATGGCTGATGACTGGATTCGAACCTTGCCTTCAAATCGGTTGGTTGGATAGAACAGTTCGTCAGTCGGAATTGAATTTGTCAATCTCAACCATACGGAACCATGCCGAAACCGTTTGAATCTGATTATGCCGTGACAGATCCTTGTGGATGTCATCACAATCCCAGCACTATAGCTGCTGCTTGTACACGTAGATGTCGCACCACGTTTGTGCAGAAGCTGTGTACGAGTTACAATCTGCTTCGCCGCTGTCGTCAAGTCTGCGTAACTCTTCGTCATCGGATATAAAAAACAACCTGTTACCAAATCATCAACAGTTTTTGCAAATGCCGCAAAGCTATGCCGAGTAGGGGGCTGGAGTGGGATTTGATTGAACAGAACGCTCCAGCTCCATTAGGGTTAGGTGGGCTCTTATTGGGCGGCACACCCAGTTTGAAAGTTAGTGTGATTTCGGACCCGTGTCATATACCTTCATATCGGTTCAAGCCCTTCAATGTTCGGCCAGAATACGTATGCCGGCTTTCGTTGAAGCAGCTGGGGGTGGACTTAGGAAACTATTGGCATGGGCGTGTGGTCATCGGCGCTAATGTAAGTGGGATCAACCGGGGTAAAGCTATGCCTCTCAAGAAGCGAGAGATTCGGCAAAGAGGGGGACATGGGAGGACGCGTTCAGGAGAGGAGGCGGAGGAGGGGTAGCATGCGGGGAGAGTCGTCAATGTCGTATCCGATGTTACCGTATTTGATTCATCGGACGCATTCGCTAGCGCAGCCGCGTTGTTTCATTCCTCTGCTGCTTCCTGCTCCCCCTCCCCCAACCTTCCTCAGCCTACAGCTCCCCATGTCAATGCAGTTGTAGCCTGACATCCGAGCCTCGCTGCTAGCTTAGGCATGGCCGAGCCTGTGACTCTGGGTCGGTTCTTCGGAGCGTTGGGCAAGACATGGGCGCTCATAGGCGCGCTCTATCTCTTTGACAAGTATTCACCTCTGGGTTGGTGGACATTCAAACCTCGCCCTAAGGTGGGTTGCGTGTCCTAGGTTTAGTTTGTTTGTGTTGTGTTGCTTACATGCACACACATACTTGACACATCCGATCATTTGTGCAACCTTGGCACCATCCATTCTCATACGGTCTCTTACCCTCCCTTTTGCTTCCTTTTCAACCCCAACCCCTTTCCCCGCCTCCCTCTCCCCCCTTCCCCGCCTCCGTCCCCCTCATCCTCCTGGTGCTTCCGTTCCTCTCCTTTCACCACGAAACCACTGACAGGAGGAGAGGGCCATGGCTCACTTATACGAGAGGGGCCCCACGCCTTTCCCAGGGGACGCAGCTGCCGGCGATCCACACGCAGTGGACCGGTACTTTGAGCGCGGCGGCGTGGCCACCACCGTCGTGCCGGCCCGGTTCCGCCAGTCCTCTTCTGCTGGCAGCGCTGGCTCAGACGTGGAGGGGCGGCGGGCAGCGGAGGAGCAGCGGGTGAAGCGGGAGGCGCTGAGGCTGTGGCTGCGCATGAGGAGGGAGGCTGAGAGGGAGCTGAAAGCACAGGGTTATGATCCGATGCAGTGAGGCTGTGAGGGGATGGGGGCGTAGTTTTATGCTATGAGGAGAGTACTCATGGGTTTGGAAGAAGTGGTGGATTCGTGATTTGGAGGAATAGTGGCTTGTGAGAGGTGTTGATGCTGTGGCTGTGTTGGGTTGGGTTGCAGTCCAAAGGGGTTGATAGCATTTTAGATTCCTGTTCGTTCACTAGTCGCACTGAAAGTCTTTTATTGCCGTACCGTAGCATAGGGCGTCAATTTGCCAGTCCAGTCCATTTGTAACTGGCCAGAAAAACAAATCTGAGGGATGGCTTACAGTCCTCCATGCGTGCTTGTGCATGTGGGTGTGCTACCGTATCATAAGGTGCTGGTGTGGGGTGCATGCACATGTCTCGTGCTGCCAGCCTGGAGTCATCTGTGGGCTGTCAGAAAGTGACCCTTCTACCTGTTGGGCCGAGATGCCCCTTAGGATCTTTGGTAGGGTTAAGCTCTAGGTAGAGTGATGTAGTAGCGGAAGCGTTTAAGGAGATTCTTGTTGGGCTGAGAAAATAGCCCTTAGGATCTTTGCAGAGGAGAACTCTTGGGTAGAAAACTTGTAATAGCGGAAGCGTTTGATGAGGATTGTGAACCGACCTTGCACTGGTGTGTGAGAGCAAAGTAGATTGAATTAAACAAGCAAATACAAGGATTTATATAAGAGTACAGGGAATACGAATAGATAGGTAGATAACTGTATTGCTGTTGCGGTTCGATACAGTGCGACTCGGGCAACTGCTCTGTAACGAGTCAGTTGTGTGTCCTTAACTGTCGCGCTGTGATTGTCGAGTCAAAGGTCAGCGACCTTTGACTTTCTCGTAACCTCCAGGCGGTTACCCTAACCTCCGAGGTTGACTCGATGCTTCGATTGGGACTGCTTCGCTTGGTGCCTTGGGTTTTGATACGACAGAAGCGCACTTAGGATTTATTGTTTCCAACACTCCCCTTCGCTTCTGGAGTGTCGCTGCTGGTGACGTGGCCTTGTCCAGTCAGCATCATGCAGTATTCGAACTTCTGCTTTCCGAGTTTCTTGGTCAAGTAATCGGCTGCCATCTCGGATGTTGGGCAGTATGACAGATCGAGTTTCCCTTTTTCTATCTCGTCCTTCACGAAGAAATAGCGCAGGGCGATGTGTTTCGTCCTGTTTGCGAAGCCGTTTTTGTTGGCGATGCGAATTGCCGATTGGTTGTCGCAGAACACGGTGAAGCTGGGTAACTCGGCTAGTTTCGCTTCTTCCAGTAGTTCGCGAAGGTAAAGTCCCTCCTTGGTGGCTGAGCAGAGTGCGATATATTCTGCTTCTGCTGAAGATAGTGCGATTAACTCCTGCTTGCTTGACTGCCAGGAGATAGGACCGATAGGCTCAAGGCGGTAGACATAGCCGGTGCGTGAGCGCCTGTTGTCGGTGTCGCCGGCGTGATCGGCGTCGACGTAGCCGATTAGTTTGGTCGGTGTAGTCACGTTTTTGTGATAAGTTAGTCCGATCGTCGCGGTGCTGACGAAGTAGTGGAGAGCACGATCGAGTTCCGCCAGATGCTCTGCTTCAGGTCTCTTGAGATAGGTAGCGAGCTGACTCGCGGAGTAGGATAGGTCGGGACGGCACGTGACTGCTGCGAAAAGAAGGCATCCTAGCTTCTTCTGATAGTCGCGTATGCCGGCGGGTTTAAGTAGAGTAGATTGCCCCTTTTCGGTTCCTGACGCGTAGCGATAAGGCGTGGAGATGGCGCTTGGTGTGAGACGAAAGCGTTTCGCGATAGTGTCGGCGTACTTCTCGGCGCTTAGGTAGATTGCGTTTTCTTCCTCACGGATGTTGAGCCCGAGGTATTGCGTAACCGTAGAAGAGACCGTGAGCGTGAGGTCTTTCTGGAGCTCCCCTTCGAACCACGCGGCGATGTTGTCGGTTGACCCAATGTAGAGAAGATCGTCCACATAGACGATTAATAGGACGT